GTTGTTTACAGACATCATTGCTCCGTTTCAAGTTAGCAGCAGGAAGAGGCAATAGAGGACAAAAGGGCCATTCTTCCGGCTAAGTCAGTTTCTTCTAAGGAAACTTCTGTATGGTCCTTACAACATTTCTGTTTATATCTTATTGGCCAGAACATAGTCACATGGGTGCATGTAGCTGCAAGTGAGGCTAGGAAATGTGGGCTTTCAGTACTATTCACAGCTACCATAAATAAAAATTTTCTATCGCCAAATAAGAAGAGGAAGATGGATTATGTCAGTTATCTCTGTCATCATCATTTACAGGATTATCTTCAAATATGCAAGACAGCATGTGGACTGAACCTTATAATTCATCACTCTAAGAATTTGATTTTCTCTTCCAAATGTTGTAATTGAAAATTAAGAATGATGTGCCTAAAAAGGGCAATTATTTAAATTGAAGACAATTTCTGATATGAAACAATCATTTCATTAATACCGAGTTAGGGCTGCATGTGGTGGCTTATGACTGTAATCCCAGAACTTTGGGAGGCCAAGGTGGGTGGATCACCTGAGGTCAGGAGTTCAAGACCAGCCTGGCCAACATGGTGAAACCCTGTCTCTACTAAAAACATAAAAACTAGCCGGGTGCTGTGGTGTGCACCTGTCATCCCAGCTACTCAGGAGGCTGAGGGAGGAGAATCACTTAAACCCGGGAGGCGGAGGTTGCAGTGACCTGAGATCGTGCCACTGCACTCCAGCCTGGGCAACAGACCGAGACTCCATCTTAAAAAAAATTGAATTAAGATACTAAACTGAGGATATTTAAAAACATTGCCATATAATATCCATGGCTTTGGATAGAGTAAGCTCAATTCATGGCATCATTAAACAGGAGGGAGTGGCTATGCCTATAGGAAGGAATGTAGGGCAGAGCTCCTGAGAATTTGCTCTTCTGATCTATCTTTTGATAGAGTTACTGGAGTGAGATTGAGGAAAACTCAGGGTGATTTAAGTTAAGAAATTAGAAAATGGTTAAAAATTGAGACTCAAAGATCTGGGAATTACGTAGGTCTTTAGTCTTCAAAGAAAAAATATGCCCCAATATTGCTTACAAAAATCAAAAGTAATTCTGTCATTAGACAATTACCCTAGGATTGTAAAGTTGAAAAATAAAACAATTATCTAAGGAAGTCTACCAAAACCCTTGATATTATCTGAATTATTTGAATAATTGAGGTAAAAGTGGAGTTTCTGCCTGGATTATTCAGATATTTGTCTTAATTCTAAACTTCACTTAGCTAGCTGGTAGAGACCTTTCTATAGGATGTATTTTTGGAATGCTAAATGCTAAAAAAAAAACGGTCTCCTAAAGTAAGCAGAGCTGTGGTGTAATGAGGGTGTATGGGGGGTGACAGAGAGATAGGGAGGGAGAGAGAGAGAAAGGAGGAGGAAAAGAGAAAGAGAATGGTAAGTAGTTAATTGTCAGAATAAGATTAAACTTTACTTTGTATTCGATAGTAACCAATGTCCACATTTTCATCACAGGATGAACTTTTTATAAAAAGGGAAATACATATGTAGATTTCAGATATAACCCACAGTATTTTAAAAAGTTATGAATTTCTTTTTAAGCTTTAAAGAAATAACTTTTTACTTTGTAAAGTTTAGAAACTTCACGCCTTCAAATCCAGCAATTTAATTTATATAGTGAAGCAAATTGACTTAAAAATTATACTATACTTTTTGTTTTACTTCATATTGTTGGTCTTTGCCTTTTAATTCTTAAAGACAAAATAAATTAAAAAAAAAGAAGAATGATGACACCCTAGTTGCCACTCCATTCTCTTCTTCATTGGTAACAGAACCCTGGGCAGTAAGCCCAGCCCCCAAATTACTTGCCAACCTTCCCCACAGCTGAGTGTGTCATGTGACTAAGTTTTCGCCTATAAGTGGAAGTGTTGTGTGAGACTTCTGGATAGGCCCTTCTTTTCCAGACTCCTTCTGACCTACAATGCAGACAAGTTTCCTTGATCTCCAGCAGCCATCTTGGGTCATAGGGCAACCTTAAGAATGGAAGCCTTACACTAGGATGGTGAAAGATTAAGGTAGCAGGAACCTGACTCCATGATGACTGTGAAGCTACTATATATCCTCTGGGATGCTCCTTCTGCATTTATTTTACTTAAGAGAGTAAAAATGTATATCGTGCTTAAGATACTATTATTTCTAGTTATTGTTACTAGCAGATGAACACAATTCCTAAGTGATACATATATTAAGGCATTAATTGAAAATATTTTGTGATTTCTAGGATTAAATGTCTAGATATGTGTAATAGCTTTCCCCTACCCCCACCACGTACACACACATAAACATGCATTCTAATTTGTAAGAAAGAAAACTAAGTGATTATTTGAAGTACCAGTAATATATTTTGTGCAATTGCACAGGATAATGCTTTTGCAATGTGAATCATGTGAAAATAAGAATTTGAGCATTACTTAAGAATTTTTCAAGGTACCTACATGCACTAAAAAATAGATAAATAAATAAATAAAGATTATTATTTTTTTTATATTTTTTTATATTACTTCTGTAATCCCAGCACTTTGGGAGGTCGAGGCAGGCAGATCACAAGTTCAGGATATCAAGACCATCCTGGCTAACACGGTGAAACCTCATCTCTACTAAAAATACAAAAAATTAGTCGGGCATGATGGCGGGTGCCTGTAGTCCCAGCTACTCGGGAGGGTGAGGCAGGAGAATGGCGTGAACTTGGGAGGCGGAGCTTGCAGTAAGCCGAGACAGCGCCACTACACTCCAGCCTGGGCGACAGAGCGAGACTCCGTCTCAGAAAAACAAAACAAAACAAAAAAAGAAAACAAAATAGTAGAGAGGAAGACAGGAAAATACAGAAATGGGATTCAGCAACAGAATATTAATAGTTTTTTTCTTTATCTTTTGCAATTAACAGCAAGAAAGGAAGGAAAGATCAATCTATCGAGCAGTCAGATGGAATGGTAAAGATTAATCATTCTCCTCCCTTCAGAAGTTGCCTTAATTCCTTGTCTTTTAAGATCCAGCTCTTTTATAAGGCCCTCACCAATTACAATTCCCTCAGTAGGAATTAACCTCTGCTCTTTATCAGGACTAGGGCTAAGCTACAGCGGGTGAGGCGTTTGTCTTGGGTACACAATTTAAAACTCAGTAATCAAGATAAATATTTTAATGGAATATTTTCATTGGCAAACTAAGGCATGTGGGCCAGTCTCCTGTTTTTGTAAATAACGTTTTAATGATACTTTGCTTTTATTTGTATTATAGCACTCAAATAGTACTTTTTATATTAGTCCTCTCCCAACAGGGCTATACTCATTTTTGTATTCCTCATGTACCTACTACTCTGTTTGAAGCATAAAGGCCTCTTAAAAAAACCTTGCATTGAGTTGACTAAAGGATTTTTGCAAGAATATATAGTACTAGTGATGGTGGCATTCAATTTTCATCACCAAGTTCAACTATAGCAAAAGAATAACAGAATGATGACTATTTTGAAAGTACTTATAATTTAGTGCTGTGGGAAAAATCACTTGGCTTGTCTTTGACTAAAACCCTGCTAAGCTTAGGGAGATAGAGAATTGTGATATTACATTATGTTCATATAGCACTTTTTCCTACATAAAGTGCTTTCTCTTAATCCTCACCTCAATCCTATAAGGTCGGTATTGCTATCCTTATTTATTGTAGAGAGACTGAGAAATGAGGTGACTTGCCCAGGGAGTTATGGGCAAAAAGAGGCAGAGCTGGGGTTTTAACCCATATTTTGTCTATCACAATTGAATGCCCTTTCTGCGATTATAAATCTTATGTCTCAGAGTTGAATTTATACAGCAACTACAATAGCATTCTCATCATTAAAATGTTCTGATTTTGTGTGTGTGTGTGTGTGTGTGTGTGTGTGTGAGAGAGATGAAGTAGCTGAACTTGGTATTTTTCGGTAGAGGGTAGGAAACTACACATTGAAAAGCCGAAGATGAAATTATGTTATTTGAGTATTACTTTCTAACTATAACTTTACCACCGATGTGTGTATGATATTCTGCAAAGTAAGTAAACTGTACATGTTTGCTTCTTTATGGGGAAAAAAAAACCATTTGGGAAGGCTTTTAAACTTTTCAGCTGAAAAAGGTTATGTCAATGTGAAATATTATAGTTCTCAAGAGTTAGGAATTGATTAAATTTAACGGGTTTCCTTTTCATACTTAGGGGGAAAAATCTACGACTATATTTTAAAACTCCATATGGCAATTAAATTTGAGAGTGTAGAACTATTTCACATAGAATTTCCATCAGTATACAATAAACAATCAAAACCTCAAATATCCGTTATTAGCCCATCTAGTAGACGATATTTTATAATTATAGATTCCCCACATTGATTGATGTCCAGAGAAAAACTGCAGTCTTCTCTTACTAAGCTGATAGCTGAGTTCCTGGGAAATCCTCACCCCTAAGAACAAATACTTCTCAAAGAAATTCAAAGTCATTCATTTTGGTGAATCGCAATCAGTCATCAATAACTCTTTATGGAATGTCCGAAGGGTGCCTAGGCATTGCAATGGCAAGAGACTTATATTTGCTTCATTCAAAGGATTTCTAAAGGGAGTCTGAGGACTTGCAAGAAGTCTGTAAAGATGCATAGTGGTGTGTTCTTTAACTGTCCCTACCTGGAATGAATTGAACAGTCTGGGTGTTAGGGCTTTGGTGTCTAATCCCGCTTTGCAAGCGAAGACTCCACTGGTGCCAAGCGACAGGCGGGCTGGTGGGCAGACATGGCACCACCACCGGGGGCTTTCAGGACTGGTGCAGCCCTCCCAGGCAGGTGTAGGGTCGACTGCAGCAACAGCGGCCCTGACCCCCGCTCCCATGGCTCCCCTCCCCCCCGCACTCCCACCCCCCGCACCCGGCACACACCATCTCCCAGTCGCCCAGGCTCGACCGGTTCTCGCGAGATCCGGGTTACTGAGCGCTCGGGGCCTTTTCAAATCGGGATCCGTTACCGCTTCCCCGGCAGCCGCCATTGTCGCGCTCGGAGCCCCTCAGCTCAGGCGGCCGAGGCGGAGGCAGCGGCGGCGGGATGGCGGACGCCAACAAGGCCGAGGTGCCCGGGGCCACTGGTGGCGACAGCCCGCACCTGCAGCCCGCGGAGCCGCCGGGCGAGCAGCGGCGAGAGCCGCACCCCCCGGAGGCGGAGAAGCAGCAGCCGCAGCACAGCAGCAGCTCCAATGGCGTTAAAATGTATTGTCTTTTCCTCCGGGAACCGCGGCGAGGTGGGGGGCGGGGAGTCGGCCGGGGGGCCAGAGGCCAGGCTGGGTCTTGATGGGGGATAACCGCCCCCAGGCCCCGGCCCGCCCCCGGGCCATCGGCTGCCTGAGGAGCAGGTGCAGCTGGGCCGCTCCCAGGCCCTTCCCCGCCCGCCCCAGGCCTGGCCGCCTGCGGTCCCGGGAGCCGAGGCTGGGGGCCCGGGGACCAAAGCTCCTCCCTGATTTCTAGCCCGAGACAGCGGACTCCCCTCTTCCCTGACTTTGGTTAAAGAACCTTTGAGCAAAGCTCAGCGACCGCCACGGTTTGCAGGAAAATGGTCCCCCTTTAAGGACCAGTAGTTAGTGTTCATCACTAGGGAGTATCTAGGGATGACATCATCGGACATTTCCTCCTAACCACCAAGAACGTATTTAAAAGGAATATCTCTGGCTTCTTTCTGAGCTTCACAAGTTTAGTGTTTTGTTGTTTTCTAAAGTGTGTGTTCATTTTTAAACTGATTTATACCGAAAGGAAGTTTAATAATGTGCTGTTAGACTGTATGTATTGTGTTACTCTTGAATTGGCTAGACGTACTTTCAAAAGGGAAATGTGCGATGTGCGTGGCTTCCCTTCCCACTGGGTAGTGTGCGTCAGCTGTGGAGAGTATATATATATATTTTAACTCAGTGTATGATTATCTTAAGTTTGGTATAATAAATGGTTAAGATTTTTTTTTTTTTCCCCTAAATGAAGGAAAACTTTTAAGGTCGCAGCTGTCACCAGTGCCTATAAATAATTTAGTTGACCCCAATCCATAATAATTTCTGGTTCTAGGGAAATGTTATGCTCCCCTTTGTTCTTGTCTTGTGGGAGGATATGAAGTTAAGTGCTTACTTTCATATGCCTACCTCCTTAAACCTGAAGTTGAAAGTATGTTAATAATTTAGTGAAAACATCCTTTTCCCTCTCTGTTATGCCTCAGAGCAGAAGGCAATAGACATATGCTCACAGTAAAATAGGCAAGGGAAAGGTCTGTCTGACCTTTGGATAAGAATGTTTGAAATGGTATGGTAAGACCTGGACCAGTCTGTGTAAAAGTTGGTGGCAGATAAGGTGAGGGTAGCTCTCCCCAGCTCTTTGACACTCTTGCTCTCAAATGAGTTTGAATAGGAGCGGCAGCATCTTCTAGGAGAATAGAGGTGCAGGTGTAAGAGATTGGAACTTAGTGGAGTTTGTTACTGGATGAAGAGTGGTGCACCTCAGTAACTGAGGAACTAGAAAGTGAATGAAGCGCTTTCTACCATGCTTGCCAAAATGTGGGCTTTCGAGAATTTGGCATTAAAAATAGAAATTAAAACCAGCGGAATGATAAACTGAAAAATATGTGCTATTCGTATCTAAACACGAGTATACATGCCACCTTTTCTCCTGAACAAAAAGTGCAGCCTTGAATTACAGAGAGAAGCCCTCCTATACTTGGGTATGATTAGTGTTGATATAGCGAAGTTTGGTATTTAAACCTCCATCAGATTCTCTAATCCCTTCTAAAGTCTCATCATGATTTAGCAAGACAGGAAAAAGAGAGAGGAGAAAGGTGGAGAAAGAATCCTTTTCTCACTTAGGAAGAGAAAAATATAAGGTGAAGAAGTGAAGAAATATTACTAGTAAATATAGATTATTTTCGTATTGCTTATAATTCACCTCTATCCCTTTCTCTTTTTCCCAGAAGTTGAATCGAGTTCAGTTTTACTCTCAGGGATTTCACTTACTGTCTACTCCGTAAGAACATATGTGATGATCCAGCATGAGTCATTCAAACTGAGTAGCGACCTAGACCTTTTTATTTGACTTCGTGAACTAGTAGGAGTGGATGACAACCCCAATACATAAACCTTGAGTTGATTATCATATGCTTTTAATAAAAATAATTCATTGTTGATTATAAAAATTATCATGATATTGCCCCAAATTATATATTGGTTGGAATCGAACAGAGTACTGCTTGTCATCAGGATTGAAATAATATTTGCTGAGGTTAATCCATAGTTTTTGAGTGTGGGAGACCACTATGTCTTATTCTTCTTTGTATTCTTAAGGCCTAGTAAATATTTGTGGAAGAAATGCAGAAGTGAACTTTTATGCTTATGAAACTCATATACAGGGAATTTAGTTTACATGTTCACACCTTTAGAAAAGATCCGTTTTCCAACTATGGTCTTCTTTATTTAATGCCAAATGGTATACTGGCTCCCCTTTTCTTAAAAGTGAATAGGTGGGAAAAGGGCAGTATTATTATAACTTTATTATTCATGTGTAATTAGGTATAACTTTGGAGTAGGTAGAGATTGAGAGTTATATTAGGGTACTATAAAATTTTAAGCATTGGAGCAAAGTAATGTGTTCTTTAGTTGAGTGATTTTTATTAGGAGTAAAGACTAGAACTGTTCTCCCAAGCTTTATTGAGGTAAATTGACAAAAATTGTATATTTTGAAGTGTACAATGTGATGTTTTGTTGTACAAATAAACTGTGAAATGAGTACCACAATCAAGCTAATTAACATATCTGTTACCTCACATAATTACCATATTTTTTGGTGTTGAAAATACTTAAGATCTACTCTTTAAGCAAATTTCAAGTATACAGTAAATATGTTAAATATAGTCACTATACTGTGCCTTAGATCTACAGAACTTGCCCATCTTATAACTGAAAGTTTGTGCCCTTAGAACATTTCCCCATCCCCTGCTGCCCTCCACCTCTGGTAAACACCCTTCTACACGCTGCTTCTGAGTTTGACTTTTTTTAGAGTCTGTGTGTAAGTGAGATCATGCAGTATTTGTCTTTCTGGGTCTTTTTCACATAGCATAATGTCCTCTAGGTTTATCTCTGTTGTTGCAAATGGCAAGATTTTGTTCTTTTTGTAAGGCTAAATAATAATATTCCAGTGTGGATGTGTTGTGTAAACACAAAATATAATATATATCATGTTTCCTTTAACTGTTTATCTGTCAGTGGACACTTAAGTCATTTCCATATCTTGGGTATTGTGGATGATGCAGTGAACATGGGAGTGCAGATATCTCTTTGAGATAGTGATTTCATTTTCCTTGGATGTATACCCAGAAATAGCATTGATGAATCATATGGTAGTTCTGTTTTTAATTTTTTGGGGACCCTTGATGCTGTTTTCCATAATGGCTGTACCAATATGCATTCCCACCAGCAGTATCTAAGCGTTCTTTCTATACATCCTCAGCAACACTTGCTATCTTTTGACTTTTTGATAAGTCATTCTAACAGGGATGAAGTGATATTGCATTGTGGTTTTGAGTTGTATTTCTCTGATGATTGGTGATATTGAGCACTTTTTCATGTATCTTTTGGCCATTGGTGTGTCTTCTTTGGAAAAATATTCGGATCCATTTCTCATTTTTTAATTGGGTTGCTATTGAGTTGTATGAGTTCCTTATACATTTTTGATATTAATCCCTTATTGGATATGTGGTTTGCAAATGTTTCCTCTCGTTTCTTAGGTTGCCTTTTCATTTCGTTGATTGTTTCCTTTGCTGTGCAATAACTTTTTACTTTGATGTAGTCCCAATTGTTACTTTTGTTTGTGTTGTCTGTGCTTTTGGTGTCATATCAAAAAAAAAAAAAAAAAAAACAATCATTGCCAAGACCAAGGTCATGGAGCTTTTCTCTTGTGTTTTCTTCTGGGAGTTACAGGGTTTTAGGTGTTATGTTTAAATTTTTAATCCATTTTCATTTCGTTTTGTATGTGAATATCTAGTTCTCCCAATACCATTTTTTGAAGAGACTGTCCTTTCACCATTGTATATTTTTGGTGCCTTTGTCAAAGATTAGTTTACCATATCCTTGGGGATGTATTTTTGAGTGTTCTGGTATGTTCCATTGGTCTCTGTGTCTTGTTTTTGTGCCAGTACCATATTGTTTTGATTACTGTAGATTTGTAATATAACTTGAATCAGGTAGTGTGATGTTTTTATCTTTTTCTTCTTGTTCAAGATTGCTTTAGCCATTTGAGATCTTTTATGGTTCATACGGATTTCAGGAATATATCTGTTTCTGTGAAAAATGCTGTTAGAATTTTGATAGAGATCACATTGAATTTATAGGTCATTTTGGGTAGGAAGGACATTTTGACAATATTAATTCCTCTCATCTATGAACATGGAGTATCTTTCATTTGTATTATTTTCAATTTTATCATTGATAGTTTTTCAGTGTATAGCTCTTTAGCTTTCTTGGTTAAATTTATTTCTAGGTATTTTATTCTTTCTGGTGCTATTTTAAATGAGATTGTGTCCTTAATTAATTTTTTGGATAGTTTATTATTATTAGTATGTAGATATGAAATGGATTTTTGAATGTTGACTTTGTATCCTATAACTTTACTGAATTTGTTCTAACAGTTTTTTTGGTGGTGTCTTTAAATTTTTCTCTGAATAATTTTCTATGTAAGATCACATCTTCTACAAACAGAGATGATTTTACTTCTTTCTCTCCAATTTGGTTGTCTTTTATGTCTTTTATTTGCCTATTGCTCTGGCTGTGACCTTCAGTACAATGTTGAATAGAAGTGGTGAGCATAGGCATCTTTTCTTTTTCCTGCTCTTAGAAGTAAAACCTTCAAATTTTCACTGTTGAGTATGACGTTAGCTATGGGGTTGTCATATATGATCTTTATTGTGTTGAGGAACATTCCTTCTATACTGAATTTGTTGAGAGTGTTTATCTTGAAAGGATATTGAGTTTTGTCAAATGCTTTTCCTGGATCTATTGAGATGATCTTTGATTTTTTAAAAATCCTTCATTCTGTTAATATGGTGTATAACATTTACTGATTTATGTATGTCATCCTTGCATCCCTGGGATAGGTACTATTTGATTATGGTGTATAATCCTTTTAATGTGCTGTTGAATTTAGTTTGCTAGTATTTTGTTGAGAATTTTTACATCTGTGTTCATCAGGGATATTGCCCGTAATTTTCTTTTCTTGTAGGATCCTTGTCTGGCTTTGTTATCAGGGTAATCTGGCCTTATAAAATGATTTGAAAGAGTTTCCTCATATTCGGTTTTTTGGAAGAGTTTGAGAGGGATTGGTATTAGTTCTTAAATGTTTGATAGAATTTACCAGTGAAGCTGTCAGGTCCTGGGCTTTTCTTTCTTGGGAGATTTTTGATTACTGACTCCTATCTCCCTTGTTATTGGACAGTTCAGATTTTCTAATTTTTTGTGATTCAGCCTTGGTGAGTTGTATATTTCCAGGAATTTATTAATTTCTTCTAAGTTATGCAATATGTTGGTATATAATTGTTAATAGTAGTTTCTTATAATTCTCTGTATTTCTGTGGTATCTGTTATAAAGTCTCCTCTTTGATTTCTTTATGTATTTTTCTATTTTCCCTCTTTGATTTCTGATTGTTCCCCCCGCTTAATCTAGCTTAATCTTTGTCAGTTTTGCTTATCTTTCAAAAACCAACTTTTAGTTTTATTGACCTTTTCTATTGTTTTTCTAGTATATTTCATTTATTTTTGCCCTGATTTTCGTTATTTTCTTCTTTCTACTAACTTTGGACTTAGTTCTTTTTTCTAGTTCTTTGAGGTGTGAAGTTAGGTTGTTGGAGATCTTTATTCTTTTTTTTTTATTGAGATGGAGTCTTGCTCTGTAAAAAAAAAAAAAAAAAAAAAAAGTGCAATGGTGCAACCTCGGCTCACTGCAGCCTCTGCCTCCTGGGTTCAGGTGATTCTCCTGCCTCAGCGTCCTGAGCAGCTGGGATTATAGGCATGCATCACTATCCCTGGCTAATGTTTGTGTTTTTAGTAGAGATGGAGTTTCACCATGTTGGCCAGGCTCATCTCGAACTCCTGACCTTAAGTGATCCACCTGCCTTGGCCTCCCAAAGTGCTGGGATTATAGGTGTGAGCCACCACACCTGGCCTGGAGGTTGGTCGTTTTTCTTAATGTAGGCATTTATTGCTCTGAACTGCCCTCTGGTAGTTTTCCTCTGGAACTGGGATTAGTACTGGATCTGATACTATACCAGTATACTTTTAAAATCGTACATTAAAACTATGTTTCTTCTTTTGACGTTGGAGGTTGATTTTTTCCAGAAATTTATGTTATAATTTAAATACGCATAGTTCAATTTTAAGAATAGATAACATTTTTATGACTATTTTAGAGTTTTTATTTTAAGTACATTGTGGGAGTGGTTGTCTAAATGAACAGTTTGGGAATTTAGTACATGGAATTCTGGATGTAGTACCAATATTTTGGAATTACGTAGCATCGTTTCCTTAATAGTTTTCACATATATTTTTACTTTCTCTTCCAAAGTATTTATGACTTGGAAATAGTTCAGAAATTATATAATTATGGCTCAGTTTCTTAATAGATCATTCCTGTAGCCTCTAAACTGTTATGCCTTTTAGAGATTTTTTTTTCTTTTTTTGTTATACATTGGAAAGAAACTTAAGGTAAATTTTAGTTCATACATCGTAGACGAGCAGTTTAGCAGTATTTTAAAGATGCTTCTTATTTGGGAAAATGAAGAAATTACTTTCTTTGATCATCTTTGAGTAAATTTTTAAAAGAAGATATTATGTATAATATTACTGCTTTTAATGGAATTTTCAGATTGTTGTAAGCAAATATTTAATCTATGTAACTCCACCCAAGTCAAGAATAGAACATTGTAAGTACTTCAGAACTTTGTGTAATTTTCACAATTGGTTTAATCCAGGAAGAAAATAGGCAGGGGAAGGGGTATTAATCTAGAGACTATATAGATATCTGTTTACTGAATAGAGTCTCAGTTACTTTACAAACATTCATTGAATTCATCTAAGCCTGTTAAGTAAACAGGCCCTTTGGGGAATTGAAAAGAAAGGTTTGTTCTTCTATCTGTGGTACCCAGAAACCAGAGAAAAGGCCTTTGTGCCTTTTGGCTGCTTGCTGCCATTTTCAAAAGTGTCACTCTGTTCAGACAGGTAGGTACTTTCTAGATTTAGGCAGTTGAGAAGACTCCCCCCTAGGCCATGCCATTTCTGATGAAAGAATATGTTTGATAGTGAAGATGTCCCTTTCAAGGTCTAAAAAAAAAATGGCAAAGCAAGTTTGGTCCAAATGTCTCTGTCTTTATTCTGGCAGTTTTTTCTGGCAACATCTGTGCTCAGATGAGTATGGATTCTTAATTGACTGTTAATTCATTTAAAAATTTATAGCACAGTGTTATTTGCAGTCACTGTGCGAGGTGCTGGTGATACCAAAGCAGATAGTTTTTGTTCTTATAGGGTTTGCATACTATATTTATGGCTGTGTACCTACAAAGAAGAGTAGTGTTCAAGAAGCTGCGTATATTATGTAACAAATGACTGCGGTTAGAGGTATGTGAGGAGCATTGCAATGTGTGGATCACCAGAATTGCTGGGCTTGGAAGATACTTTAGAGCCTGGCTTATGAAACTTGATTTGTTGTCAGAATAATCCAGAAAGCTTTAAAAAAATTTAGATTCCTAGGTGTTATCCGCAGTGATATTATTAGTAATGTTTGTGAAAAAATGCTTTAAAATTGAAGTTTTGTTATTAAAATAGTTTTAAATTGACTAGATTATTGACTTAGTTATTTAAATAAGAAATCTATTGGCCAGGCACAGTGGCTCACACCTGTAATCTCATCACTTTGGGAGACTGAGGTGGGCGGATCACCTGAGGTCAGAAGTTTGAGACCAGCCTTTCCAACATGTTGAAACCCCGTCTCTACTAAAAATGTAAAAATTACCTGGGTGTGGTTGCAGACACCTGTAATTCCAGTTACTTGGGAGGCTGAGGAAGGAGAATTCCTTGAACCCAGGAGGCGGAGATTGCAGTGAGCCGAGATCTTGCCACTGTACTCCAGCCGGGGTGACAGAATGAGACTCTGTCTCAAAAAACAACAACAAAAAACAACAACAAAAAAACCCTATTGTTTGTTCTGTAAAAAAGACTTGTTTTTAAAAGTAAATTGCATTTTAAAATATAAATCCAAATTTTTATCTATAGGGTTTAAGTGTATGCCTGAATCTTTTGGATGGTTGGCATATGACATCATAGAGTTGCACTGTGATTACAGTGTTATAAATTACTTTTTTTTCTAGTTAAGGCCTCATTAAAAATCAGGTTTGGCTGGGCGCAGTGGCTCACGCCTGTAATCCCAGCACTTTGGGAGGCGAAGCCGGTGGATCATGAGGTCACGAGATCAAGATCAGCCTGGCCAAGATGGTGAAACTCTGTCTCTACTAAAAATACAAAAAATTAGCTGGGTGTGGTGGTGGGCACCTGTAATCCCAGCTGCTCAGGAGGCTGAGGCAGAGAATTGCTTGAACTTGGGAGGCGGAGGCTGCAGTGAGCCAAGATTGCACCACTGCACTCCACCCCTGGGCGACAGAGCGAAACTCTGTCTCAAAAAAAAAAAAGTCAGGTTTATAAAATTTTGGCTTATGTTGCTTTTAGGTACTGCTCCTGTTCTACATTACCCATTGTAGGTAATATTAATGAAACTGCATAATTTGATGAAGTACCGTATTCTAGTTTGTAGGTTAAAATGTAACATAAAATATTAGGATACTTTATAAGCTTTCTATGTTGATGAAAATTGGGAATAGAAGAAAGTTTGAGAGTCTTAATGTGAGTATATACATATATAGATGTGGAATTATAGACATAACTTTGTATTTTAGTTATGCTTCTAATTAAGGGAGGAGAAAGTTCTGAGAAGAAACTATTAACCTTTAAGAGATGAACTTTTTTCAGAGTATCATTGTGTAAATTAATTTTTAAAAAAAGTTTTTAATGATGCCCAGAAAGTTAATTCTCCATCAAAGGTGGCAGTTTTAGATACCTTAGAAGTAAAATTATCTGCTCTTCCCTCTGTTCCAGTCTAATAGCATTTATTAATTAAGTAGTGTGGTGGGAAAAACTGGGTGATTGTTTGGATGCTTACAGCTATTTAATGTGGAAAAAAGAATGAGGACTGTTAAATGAGAAGCCAAACTCTTGCTTTGAAATAGCACTGGATAATTTCAAAGCTCTCAGGCTGATTCTCCAGCTACTTTGCTGAGGTCTAGCTTAGTGGAGAGTTTTGTGAAGTGATAAATATGAAGTATTTATTTAATATAGACTTCCATTCTTTTAAGCACAACTGAGGGTTTTTGTTTGTTTGATTTTTTTTTTTTTTTAATTCAAAGGGAGAATGATGAGTCAGCGAAAGAAGAGAAATCTGACTTAAAGGAAAAATCTACAGGAAGTAAGAAGGCCAATAGATTTCATCCGTATTCAAAAGACAAGAATTCGAGCACTGGAGAAAAGAAGGGTCCAAATCGTAACAGAGTTTTCATTAGCAACATCCCATATGACATGAAATGGCAAGCTATTAAAGATCTAATGAGAGAGAAAGGTAACTATCTCTGAAATAACCCACTGTTGGATAATCTTCATATAGACAGGGGAGGGAACTACACAAACATTTTTATTCCTCTGAGCCACGCAGACTCAAAAAATTGATTTTTATTTCTTGACATGTGAATTAATCTTTTCCTCTTCTTTCACTTGACACAATTTCATTACAAGGTAGTATGGATATTTTTCTTTTTGCCATTTTAGTGGGATAGTAGCGAGCCAGCATATGCATGCCACCAAGAATTTTGTTAAAGTGATTGCTTTGTCTAGTTGAAGTTTTTATAGATTTTAAAAGGGCTATTGCATCAGTTAAGTAATACATTTAGTGTGTTAAAGAATGAATAATAAGGTCTGATTATTTATTTTTTTTCCAAAAGCTGTTTTGTTATTATCTTGGTGGAGTCTGGAATCTGGCTGTGGAATTTATTTTGTTTGCATTGTCATGACTGCCATGATGCTGTCTTTGCAGTTCTAAATTAAAATTGCATTACTGCTGTTGCAGTTTTGTTTTCAGAATAATCTGAAAACCTTCATCTTATATACATGGTTGGTTTTGGGGAAAAATAATTTCAATACTTGATCTTGTAAAAGTTAGTTTTGTTATCTCTTGAAAAATTGAGTTTCAACAGTCCTGCAAACTATGTACTTGGCTTTGAGGCTGATCTCTTCTATTAAATTTTTTTTAAAAAATTGCATTGGTGTGTCTGTTGTAAGGTGACAACTATTTGATTGGTTTTATTCATTGACTTTATTTAGAAAGTGTGTGGCTTGCTGTGAAGCATGATTTGTAAATTTAGTTTACTGATGGCAAACATGATTGAAGACATTCAGGTAGAAAGTCACCTTAAAACAGCTGTTGTGTGTAGGCTGACCAAAGTTATTTGAAAAGTGCTAATGTTGATGTTTTTTAATATGATAGGTTAAGGGACCATTTGTATGTATATGTGCATTTGTTCACCAACTATATCATGCTGGCCAAAATATGATCTGTAGTATGAATTAGGTTAATATGGTTGTTAGCTTTTTTTTAGAGAATGTGGATGATGTATATTTCTGAAAATTAGTTAAATTTACATAGCCATTGATAGGAGGTATGTTGGTCTGGTTTTGATTGTTGGTGAATAATAGGTGCTTCTCTGTAGAGTTGTGCACAGGTGTGCAGTAAAGCAAGATACTGGTGTTTAAATGTATTGTTTCTTGGTATCTTCCTTTTGTATGTCTTATGTAGTTGGTGAGGTTACATACGTGGAGCTCTTTAAGGATGCGGAAGGAAAATCAAGGGTAAGTGCTGTGGGCAATAATCTGCTTGAGGTTTAAAAGTTCCTCAGCAGTTTACTTTTTGTATAATACTTGTACCAGTTTTTGGAAACTTAAGTTTCATTTTGTTTTACTTTATTATACAAGATTTGAGGCTCTAAACCAGCAAGTCTGACACTTATACAAACCTCGCTGCCTGGAAGGGATGGGTTTTGTAAACACTCAAAAGGGCATTCACTTTTCCAATGCTCTAAGGTAATACTTCTTCTTAGCCAATAAGATTTTAGCATAGGATTTTTTTGTTGTATTTTGATGTCTTCAAGGATACTTTAAAAGTCACAGAATTGATAATATTCCTGAGTTTTTTGAGGGGACTATAGCTTAAAGGTGTTAGTTCAGAATGTATTTTTGAAATTTTACTGAAAAGCTCAATTTGGTAGCCTGCAGGACTACATAAGAGGCAGTGCTCTGACCAATTGGTACGAATGACATTTACGATTACATTGACATAGAAGGAATTGGTTGATAGTATATTTTGATTTTTAGCAACAAGAATGCAATATACTGAAGAATACAATGGAAAAACTCTTAGCAATGTTTAATTTTGTTAGTAAAACCAGCTGGGTGCATGATGAATAAAAACTTTGTCATTACATTCAAATGGGACTTTGAATGGCAATCACAGGGAATTATTTTTTAAAATAACTCTCCAAATTAATTTATTACTAGTTTATAGGTGATTTTTACATACTTCCAACTGGGTGCTGTTAAATGTGCAGCCAGTTTTAATCTAATAGAGAACTTGTTAAAAATAAAATTAATATTCACTATTTTGATTTTAATAGAATTGAAAAATATGTCGTAGATAATACATCTTTTGAAAATATTTGTAACTATAGAAGGATAGGTATATTGGAGCCTTTAGTTATTTCGTTGAATTACTGTTGATTTAATTTGTGCAGTGACATTAGTTAATGAAAAGTCACCTAAAAGTAAAAACTGTGCTCCAAGGTTGTTACATATTAGATTCTACTATTTTTAATAGATATATTAAAAAACTTAGAGAAAATTTGTGGTCCCTCGCCTATTATGTTCTGGAGATATAAAAGGTGAAGTGATTCTACCATATTATTAATTGCCTTAATGATTGAAATGTTAGAACTGATTATTCATGTACTGATCTAAAACTTTTTTTCTTTTGCATATTTTGACAAATCTACCTGGATATAGGGTTGTGGGTAAGAAATTTTTTCTTCGAGTATCTTAAATTAAATTAAACTTTGGAAAAAAATTAGCACGTAAACATTTCCTATAAATTTTTTCCCTGTTAAGTGTGGTTGAATTCAAAGATGAAGAATTTGTAAAGAAAGCCCTAGAAACTATGAACAAATATGATCTTAGTGGAAGACCCCTAAATATTAAAGAGGTAAGATTTCTTATATTTAGAATTTAAACATTTGACTATAAAGACATGCTTTCCTTGGATTTTCAATTTGGTAATATATTTGCCTGACTACGACTTTTTTTAAAGCATAGGTGTTTATTAAAGCATTATATATTGATGATAGTTTTACTTGTACATGATTTTATATTTGCTTTTAAGCAGTTATCCTATATACTTGATTTGTTCCAAGTTGTTAAAAATAAAAGCACATAATTTTTATAAATTTGAGGACCTAGAAATTCAAAGGGGATAAACTTTAGGTGCTGAGTTTATTTGGTACAGACATTTTCAATTTTTAGATTTTGTTATTTAATTTGAGAAATATAACATCCTTGTAATTGATAATTAAAGGTCACTTGATGCAAATATGTTATGGATTTGAATAAAATTGATATTCACTTTTTATCAGAGTTACTTGGAAACTGTACTAGATTAAAATTTAAGAAAAAATTATAACTCTATTAGTGAAATTTATAACTAGAAGTTGGAATCCCCTAAAATGGGCATGTCTTCTTTGTACAAAATTGTAGCAGTGTAAATAGGTAGACAAAAAATGACTAGAAGATACAAACAAAACATTTACAGTTGAACCTTGAGAATGATTGGCTTGAATATCCCTCATCTTCATGGGTTCCTTTATTTTGTATTGTTAATCTTAATAGTTTGATTACAGACCTGTTACATACATATACTTGCTAAAATCTGTTAAAAGAGATAAATAGTGTAACTTTGGGACCCTGAAGATTTTGTACTAGTACTGATGCTAATCATTGGTTGTAGAGCAGTACTGTCAACATTTAATTGTATAGTATTTAATTGTACAGTAATGATTTGGTTCCTGGCTTTATCACTTTCTAGTGGGTGTCTGGACATGCTACTTAATTCTCTAAACTGAAGTGATTGTAGTAGTACTACTGATAATAGAAACATACCTTGGAGCTATTGCAGGTTTGGTTCCAGACTACTGCAGTAAAGCAAATAAAACAATAGTGTGTCACATATATGTTTTGGTTTTGCAGTACCCATAAAAGTTACGTTTATACTATACTATATTCTATTTAAAGCAATAGTATTATGTCTAAAAGCACAATATACATGCCTTAATTAAAAAATGCTTTATTGCTGAAAATGCTAGTGATCATTTGAGCTTTCATTGTAATCTTTTTGCTGGTGGAGAGTCTTGCCTCAGTGCTAATGGCTGCTGACTGATCAGGGTGGTGGTTGCTAAATTTGGGGTGGCTGTCATGATTTCTTAAAATAAGAACAGTGAAGTTTGCTGTATCAATTGACTCTTCCTTTCATAAAAGATTTCTCTGAAGCATGTGATGCTGTTTGATAACATTTTACCTATGGTAGAACTTCCTTCAAAATTGAAGTCAATCCTCTCAAACCTGCTGCTGCTTTATCAACTAAATTTATGTAATATTCTAAATCCTTTGTTGCCATTTCAACAGTGTTCATAGTATATTCACCAGGTATAGATTCCATCTCAAGAAATGACTTTCTTTGCTCATACGAGAAGCAACTCCTAATTTGTTTAGGTTTTATCATGAGGTTGCAGCAATTTAGTCACATCTGCAGGATCCACTTCTAGTTCTAGTTTTCTTGCTCTTTCAGTTATGTTCACCATTTAAGTCTTGAAGCCCTAAAGTCGTCCATTGGGATTAGAATCCATTTATTCCAAACTCCTGTTAGTATTGATATTTTGGCCTTATGAATCACAGATATTCTTAATAACATCTAGAATGGTGCATTCTTTTCAGAAGATTTTTAGTTTACTTTGCCCAGATCTATCAGAGGAATCACTGTCTATGACAGCAATAGCCTTATGAATTATATTTCTTAAATAATGAGACTTGAAAGTTAAAATTATTTCTTGATTCATGGGTTACAGAATGGATATTGTGTTAATAGGCCTGCAAACAATGTTAGTCTTCTTGTATATCTTCTTTTGCACTCTTGGGTGACAAGTACATTGTCAATGAGCAGTAATATTTTGAAAGGATTTTTTTTTTTTTTTTGAGCAAGAGGTCTCAACAGTGGGCTTAAAATATTCAGCCAACTATTCTATAAACAGATGTGCTGTCATCCAGGCTTTGTTATTTCATTTATAGAGCACAGACAGAGTAGATTTAGCCTAATTATTAAGGGCCCTAGGATTTTCAGAATGGTAAATGAGCATTGACTTCAAGTCACCTTAAGGTTACCAGTTGCGTTAGCCCCTAATAGAAGAGTCAGTGTGCCCTTTGAAGCTTTGAAGCCAAACACTGACTTCTCCCTTCTAACTCTGAAAGTCCTAGATGGCATCTTCTTTCTATAGAAGACTGTTTCATCTACACTGAAAATCTATTGTTTAATGTAGCCATCTCATCAATGATCTTAGCTAGGTCTTCTGGATAACTTGCTGCAGCTTCTACATCAGCACTTGCTGCTTCACTTGTACTTTTATGTTATAGAGATGGCTTCTTTCCTTAAATCTCATGAACCAGCTTCAAACTTTTCTTCTGCAACTTTCTCACCTCTCTCAGCCTTCATAGAATTGAAGAGAGTTAAGGCCTTACTCTGGATTAAGCTTTGGCTTAAGGGAATGATAAGGCTGCTTTGATCTTCTGTTAAACCACCGAAACTTTCAGACCACTGAAATGTTGTAAGCACAAACAAGTGAAGTATCTTAATAGTTCAAGAAGCATCTTTTCTGTTGTGTTATCCTTCTTCCCCAAGAGTAACGAGTATCTTAAATTTTGTGTTTTTACCTGTTTTTGAAACAGCATTAAGGCTGTTTCACTTTCTCATCATTCATGTGTTCACTGGAGTAGCACTTTAAGTTTCCTTCAGGCCAGGCTTTTCACCCGTCTGAACTTTTGACATACCTTCCTCACTAAGCTTAATCATGTCTAGCTTTTGATTTAAAGTGAGAGACTTGCAACTCTTTCTTTTACTTGAACACTTAGATGCCATTTTAGGATTATTAATTGACCTAATTTCAATATTATTGTGTCTCGGAATAGGGAGGCCTGAGGCGAAGGAGAGAGATGGGGAACGGCTGGTGGGTGGAGCAGTCAGAACGTTTATTGATTAAGTTCTCTGTTTTATTTAGGCACAGTTGATGGTGTACCAAAACAATTAAAACATCAAAGATCACTAATCACAGATCACCATGACAGATAATAATGAAGAAGGTTGAGATATTGCATGAATTACCAAAATGTGATACAGAGACACAAAGTGAGCACATGTTGGGGAAATGGTGCTGATAGGCTTGCTGGACACGGGGTTGTCACAGACCTTCAGTTTACAACAAGTGCAATATCTGCAAAGCGCAGTAAAGTGAAGCACAATAAAACGAAATGTGCTTTTATTTACCCAATAGGATTTTTTATGAGGATTAAATGAGATACATGGTAAAAAGCTCTGGCATCAGAGAACCTCTCTAACTCAGGGTAAATTACTTAAACTTTCTCCTTTGTTTTCGTATTACTAAGATGGGAGTAATAATAGCACCTACCTTGTAGTGCTATCAGGACTCGAAGAGTTAATATATGTAAACCATTTAGTGTTGGCTATTTATTATACTTGTGGTATTACCATTATACAAAGCACTAAGCACAGTGCTCAAGATATTTTAACTACATAATAAATGTTAGCTGTAGTAATAATGATTGTTATTCCTGTCCAAGAGTCTCTTGTTCCTGAGTGTGAGATAATAGCTTGAAATTAAAGGCCATGCTACCAACATATAACATGTATCCCAGATCCCTTTATTTGAGTTTGCTTCCAAATTATTCTAGTCCTGTTTATGTCTGGGGGCTTATTATTTAAAAAGTTATTAGCGGGAATGTATAGAAAAATTTTGACTGTTGTGATTTGTGTCACCTTTTTTTTTAAAAAAGCTTGGAATTAAAATAATGGCAAAAACTGCATTTACTTTTGCACAGAGCTGACAATTTTCTGTTTTCTGTTTTCTGTTTCTCTTCAAAGGACAAGTACTACAGATTCTTAGTATCTTTTGTTGGAAAAAAAAGTTTGTTGGATGCTAACTATCAAAGCCATGTTATTGTGTTCTTTTAAGTTTCAGCATACTGTAGATCCTCAGCAATATTTCAGAGACCCTGCAGTTATATAATCCAAGTTGAAAGAGGATGCCACCATTTTTAACTTTTTTTAAGAGGAAAAAAAAAGGCTCAATTTGGCCCAGCTAAATGATGAGGGATTTATTCAGTTGACTTTTTTGGATTAATGTCACTTTGGCAGTCCCTTTCCTGGGATATCTGATTTATAGAGGTGTGGGTGGAATGAATGCTTAGAACTGCTACTGAGGAAAGTCAAAGGAAGGTGTATCTCCAATGTTCCTTAACAGACTTTAGAATTACATTTTTTTGTTTCATTTAATTAAATGCAGAATAGTAGCGGTTATAAACTGCTACTGTAGGCCCTCCAAAAGCAATAGCAGTCAGTAACCAGCAGACTGACAGCAAGGGGAAAAGAAGAGTAGAAGTCGTGTTATATAGTAGGTGGTTTGTTTTATATACATTTTATTTTATATATGTTTTATATATGCATGCATGTATTGTATGTGTGTATATTTCTCTCTGATATATATGTGTATAAAAGACAGATCAGTACAGCAATACATCTTGTTAATGTTACAAGCACAGACAACCGAAATAGCTTACTATACTAGTTCAGGAAACATCTTCTCTTCTGAGTTATCTTTCTTCCCCATAGGTAGCCACTATCCTAAATTATGTATTTTTACCTCTTTTTGAATCCTCGGACCTAAAGAATTTATTATTTATTAACATGTTTTGAAGTATTCTTTGATACATTTTTTTTCTTTTGTAATCCTTTTTATTCCTTCGTAGTGAAGAAGTATGTTGAAAGCCAGAATGGTTTTATTATTTCATCTACCTTTTCACCTTTTATTCTCCATCCATCCTAGAGAATTTATTAAAGTCACCCAACTTCCTTTTTATTAGTACTGTATTCCCAGACTGAGGCCAGCAAAGTAGATTTGGTGGTTGCCTTTACACTTCATCTTAGCCTAAAGATGGAGAAGTGATGATGATGATTGCCTTTAACATAATCATTTGGCATTGCAGATGATAGTCTATCAGTGTGTTTATGTGGTTTTTGTTCATTCATTTTAGTTTTTTAGTATTGCACCTACTGGGGTGAGTGAGAAGGACGTTTATGTTTGTGTGAGTGCATGTGTGTGTGCGTGTTTGGTTTTGTTTAAAGGGTAGGGTGTTTCTCTTACAAAATTAATGAACCTAACAAAAAAACAATGTTTAATGTAATTTCTCACTTGGACATTTAGCCCTCCTTTATCTCTCCCCTCCTCCATCTCAGGTTATAATCATTGTTGAAGAAGGTAAGAGTTTAGAAGGTGGGTAATTGTATTTTGTTCAGGAATAAAATTTACAGATTACAATCGACCATCCTGTCCTCTACCCTAGTATTTGGGTTTTATAACAGTCTGTTCCACTATTGAAAAGCTTTGAATTAGTCTGAGTTTGGCATTCCATTGGGCATCCAGTAGTGAGAATTCACCATTCCTACATTTTGGAAAGAAAAGTCACAGTGAGTACTTCGCTCTTCTTTGAGTTAATTGTATGTGTACTTGTACCCTAGTGTGAGAGCAAAATTAAACTAATTTCAAGTTCTTAAGTGGCTTTAGTGATTGGAAAAAAATATTTAACTGACATCTCTAGAGGCTGAAATCTTTTGTCTATCCACAGGTTTTTATGGGACTCAATTCTCTGGATGAGAAAAAAAGCTCACTCTTCAAGAGGGTCAATAATTTGAGTCAGAAGGGATAGCTACTGTAGAATTTAAGTTGTTATTTTAATTATATAGAAGTGATGTATTTAGTGGAATTTAACATTCAATGTGTGTTACAGGATCCTGATGGAGAAAATGCTCGTAGGGCATTGCAGCGAACAGGAGGATCATTTCCAGGAGGACATGTCCCTGATATGGGATCAGGGTTGATGAATTTACCACCTTCCATTCTCAATAATCCAAACATTCCTCCTGAAGTCATCAGTAATTTGCAGGCCGGTAGACTTGGTTCCACAATTTTTGTTGCCAATGTAAGTTCAAGCTTTAGTCTAAAACTTGTCATTCAGATAGATAGATAATTTGATTAAATAAATGTGTTATAGGTTTATAAAACATTTTGCTTATTTTTTTTATTTTTAACTAAAGTAAGTGAAACAGTAATTATTGTAAACTCAAAATCAGTTGACGTATATACATACGTATATATATACACACACACACACACACACAGACACACAAGGTTGGAGTTTAAATACAACTATTTGGATTTTTTAAACACAGAACTGTGCAATTTATACACATTCGAGCAGTTCTTGACATTATATGTGTTTTGGTTTATATTGGTAAATGGATTTCTTTTTTGTAGCCTTGATATTTGTGAATATGCATGTCATAGTTGGTTTGTCATTTGTTCTAAGCATTTGAAAGTCAGTGAAAACAATACTTTTCAAAATCTGGATTTCTCTTGGTAAAAATAGATGTGCAAGTTTCAAATGTAAAAAACAGGTTTGAGCAGTTTGAGAGATGATTTTGGAAATTAAAAAAAGGATAAGGAACAATGTAGATGTAGCTTAAATGATTTTAAACAACTGAAGATGTTTTTAAATTTGAACATTATCGATATATTGTTGAACTGGAATTATAGTTCTTTATGGTTTTAAGAGTTTAGAAAAGATTCTTTTGTATTTGCAGATGGGGAGAGGGATTTATTAGGTATGTAACTATACAATTTTATGTTAAGCTTGACTTCAAAGTTGGTTGGAAGAAGCTAAAGGAAGTGTTCAGCATAGCTGGAACTGTGAAGCGGGCAGATATTAAAGAAGACAAAGACGGCAAGAGCAGAGGAATGGGCACTGTCACTTTTGAGCAAGCAATTGAAGCAGTTCAAGCAATTTGTATCCTGATTTACATTTCAGCATTGGTTATGAGGTTGAAGAAGCATAATACCACCTTTTTTTTTTGGCGGGGGTAATTGAATTTAAGGTTGCCTGGCTTAGAGATGTGTGTTAGACTTTAGTCTCCAGCAAATAAAACCCTTACTAGGTCTAAGTATTAAAGTCACTCTTAAAACTTGAATTAGCCATATTGTACAGGGCTGATAATGAAGTTTTTTCTTTTCTCTCTTCCTACTGCAATTAATTGTATACATGCATTTAACAATTGTGTAATCCATTGTATATTAATGAATTTACTTTAAGCGAAGCCTTACAAGTTTACTTTTTTCAATGGTTGAATTAAAAATACCTCTTATTGATGAAATAAAACCATAAAGCAAAGAATTGAATATTTTTTTGAGTAAAGTTTTTGAGTGGCTAATACCAATAAGTATTAAAGATGTTAATTAAAATATCAGAGATAGTTGGACTGTAAGATTATTAAAAATTAGTTTGTGTTCTGGTATAATTTTATAGTTATCTTAACTGGCTTTCCTTGACTGAACCAACAGCTATGTTCAATGGGCAGTTTTTATTTGATAGACCTATGCATGTGAAAATGGTGAGTTCCTGTATATCACTTCAACTTCCAACCTCTTCAAATCTTTTATTGGCTCTCTTCTACATTACAGTTCTTTCTGGTAATATGTTAACCATATTATAAACTTTCTCACAATTAGGATGACAAGTCTGTTCCTCATGAAGAGTACCGTTCACATGATAGTAAAACACCACAATTACCACGTAAGTAAAAGCTATTATGAGAAACAACATAGGGTTTTTTGGGTTTGTTTTATTATATGCTAAGCAAAACTTTGTTTTTGTGCCTACATCGTAGTTTCTCACGATTTGGGATTAGTTTGGAGTTATGAAGATAGTTTGGTGCTATTGATTAGGAAGACTGTTGTGTGCCATTTTTGTTTTCTTTTTGGTAACTTTTCCTGACTGATCAGCAATACATTCTAGAATGTTTGGTAAATGTATACACTTGAAGGAAAAAAAGTCCTCTCTAATTTCGCCTCTCTAATCTGTGGGTAACCTTGTTATAACATTTTTGTGTATTTTCTTCCAGCCTTCTATGTATATTTTTTACATAGTTGAGAACAAAAATAATTTTGAATTATTTTTTGTTTAACATTAGAGTACAAGCATTTTCTCATGTTGAAAATTATTTTCAAATATTTTTATTGGTAGTATAATAATCCAACATATAGATGTTCCATAACTATTTCGCTGTTCTGTATTTTAGGTGTTTTAACTTTTATTTCCTTTTGAGTAACCACAGAGTAACACATGCCTTTTTGTTCACAAATCTTTGTAATGTTTTTGGGTACTTCCTTCAAACAGATATTCTGAAGTAGATTTACAGTTCTCATGGGTTAGTATTATCAAATTGTTTTCCAAATGACTATAACAGTGTAATATACTCATTGTATTATGTGTCTCAGTGCCTCCTTTGAAAAGTGGGGATAATAATGGTGTCTACTTCATGGGGTTGACATGAGTATTACGTGAATTAATATATGTAAAGCACTTAGAATCGTTTTGCATAAACACTCAGTAAATATTAGCTATTGTTTTTACTATTTCACTGCGTCTTCTCTGGTTTTTAAAGTATTCTTATAAGAAATCTTAAATAGACAGACAAAAGTAAAATTACTCATATAGTTATCATATGCCATATTTGTTGTAGATTTTTTTCTTTAAAATAAATAAAATTTTACAGGTAAAATGGAGCTTCCCCATCTCCCTTGCCCATCTTTCAACTTATGCCTTACCTAGAGGAAACAACTTATGGATAGAATATTTATCATTTAGGTTTTAATAATTTGACTGCACATTTGTACATCCATAAACATAGGGAATTGTTTTGTTGGATTTAAAATTTTGTTTGAGTGATATCATAATGTATTATGTAACTTGCTTTTTTTGTTTAAAATTATTTTTGAGATTCATTTATGTTGATAGATGTAGCTCTAGTTTCTTCATTTTAACTGCTGATACCACATTTTGTACATTTTTCTGTTTTTTAGATTATTTTAAATTTTAGTCATTGTGTGTTAAGTTGGAAAGTATTTGCTCTTTTTTATCAGAATTATATGTTCTCTTTATATTTGCTAGAAATTATGTGTAAAACTGGCTTTCATCTGTTGTTTCTGGAAAGTTTTTAACTATTGATGGCTTATATTTTCTATCGTTTTTTGAGTCAATTTTTGTAATTTCTATTTTTCTAAGGATTTTTTCTATTTTTGTTCATTTTCAAATATTTTGGCATAAAATTATCTCTAAGTTTTTGCTACATCTGTGGTTCTGTTTTTAAAATTCTGAATGTTTACAATTTTTATTTTTTTCTTGGTTAATTTTGTTAGAAATTTGTCAGTTTTAATGGTGTATTCAAATAACTGAATTTGAATGTTTTGTATTTTTAATTTCTGCTCTTAGCCTTATTATTTTTTTCCTTCTCTTTATTGGGGTTTAGTTTGTTTTTGTCCTAACTCCGTAAGTTGAATGCTTACTTCAAATTGGTAGCTTTTCCTTTCTAATATAAGCAGTTATGACTATAAAGTTACTACATGGGTTTTGCTATGGAGCATTTTTATGATGGGTCAGTTTTTAGAGTATTTAAAAATTACCATTATGGGCTGGGCATGGTGGCTCACACCTGTAATCCCAGCACTTTGGGAGGCTGAGGCGGGTGGATCACTTGAGATAAGGAGTTTGAGATCAGCCTGGCCAACATGGCAAAACCCCGTCGCTACTAAAAATACAAAAAAAAAGTAGCCAGGCACGGTGGCGCATGCCTGTAGTCTCAGCTACTCAGGAAACTAAGGCAGGAGAACTGCTTGAACCTGGGAGGCAGAGGTTACAGTGAGCTGAGATTGTGCCACTGCACTCCAGCCTGGGTGACAGAGGGAGACTCTGTCTCCAAAAAAAAAAAAAAAAATCACCATTATGATTTCTTATTGAGCCATGTATTATTTGAAAATAGAAGTTTTCAATTTCCAAATGTATGAGGTTTTTTTTTTTTCTTTGTACTTTTTCATTTCAATGTAGTCAGAGAACATGGTTTATATGTGAGTGTGATTCTTTGGAATTAATTTGGACTTATGGATGGCCTACCCTATGGCACATTTTTCTTAGTATTCTGGGTATAGTTGGTGAGTGCAGTGATCTATATATGTTAATCAAATCAAGTTTGTTAATCATTTTAATTGTCTTAGATCCTTACTAATAATTTTTTCTGCTGTAACACTGTTTATTTTATTATCTTATGTGTCTAGTAAAATTGCCCAGTAGAATAGTGGATTTGTCTACTTTTTCTTGTTTTTACTTAAATATTTTTAAGCTAGCTTAGTAGGTACATCTAGATTAGAGTTGATATATTTTCCTAGTGAATCAAAAACTTTATAGGGTGATTTTTTTCTCTAGTAATTACTTTGAGTCTTTGGTCTAATTTTAATGTAAGTATGGCAGCTTTATTTTGTTTTGTACTTGCCTGGCACATTTTTCCTATTTTTTTACTGTTTTAGGCACACCCCTTATAAACAGTGTTATTGCTGGGCTTAGATAGACTTTTAAAAAAACTCACTTCGATAGTTTTTTTGCCCATGAAATTGAAGAGTTCAGTTTCTTCACATGTATTGGTTCATTTGGATTAATTTCCATTATATTATTTTGTGTCTTATTTTTCTGTCTTACAAATACTTATTTTTCTCCTATCGTGGATTGTTCTGGATATTTTAATATTTCTATGAAGCCTGAAGTTAATATAATTATTCTTTTATGTAATAGTAGACTGACCTTTCGATGCAGTCACTTTCCTACTGAATTATACTATCATTGCTCAGCGTTTTAGTTCTGTATTATTAGTTCTGTACTATTTTTTTTTCTGTCCTGCAAATTAGACAATGTTATTTACCATTTTCTTGTGTCATCACTCTTCTGCTTTTATGGACTCTGGCACTGATTTTTTTCCTCTGAAGCATGAATGTTAGAAGCTCTTTTAAGTGAGGATCTTTTATTTGTAAATTCTCTCAATTTTGGTTTTTAAATGTCTTCGAAGATAGTTTAACTTGTTGTATAGTTTAAGATTGATAATTATTTTCTCTAAGCACTTTGAAAGTATTCTACAGTCTTCATGTTTACACTGTTGCTATTAAAGTCAGCCATTTGTTGAATCGTCCTTTCTTTATAAGTAATCTGTCCTTGTAGCTGATTTTAAGACTTTGGTCTTTGTTGTGCAGTTTGACAACAAAGACCCAAGTTTTAAAATCAGCTCCATGTCATTATGGAAGTAACCTAAGGTCTCAAAAATTTCCTCTTTTATGGATAATAGATGTGGAAACACTTAAGGTGCCATTAAATACAAATAAATATTTATATCAATGAGAAAACTAGGTAATGTAATATTTGCCTTATTCAGTGTTATACTTTCATGGTTATTGACTTTTTAGTTTGATTTGAGCCATTTAAAAAGTAATTATGAAATTTTAAGTGGGTCTGCAAATTTGGACAAGATGCTCATTTTCAGATATGTGTGCCGTATATAAGGTGATAAGATATTACTCAAAATCCTCTAGGTATTTTATTATTCCTTTCAGTGCACCTTTAAGTGGGGTATAAGGTGTACTTTACAGTATATCATGTTTTATTTCATAAAACACTTCTCATTAATAAATGGTTTTATAGTCAGGCTTCAGTGTGCTACTTTCTAGATAAAAACAAGAACCAGTGCTCTTATTTGAAAATTTGCAGAAATTGTAGAGATACTACTACAGGTATATAGCTCTTTAAAAAAGTTTATTGCCAATTAGTTAATCATATATGGATCTTGGTAATAATTGTTCTCATTTTTGTTTTAGGTGGTCTTGGAGGCATTGGGATGGGACTTGGTCCGGGTGGACAGCCTATTAGTGCCAGCCAGTTGAACATAGGTGGAGTAATGGGAAATTTAGGTCCAGGTGGTGAGTATTCTAACTTTTTTTTTTCTTTTTAAATGATACATATGCTAGCTAATAAAGCCTCCATTGATGTGGTCTGTAATAATGTTTAAAGGACTCTAATTAATAGTTAGATATTTATGATGTCACTTGATTCTGAAAAAGGGATGAAACCTTGAGCACAGCTGACATGAAAGAGATAGGCAGAAGTCGGGAGAGTTTCTTTGGGGCCAGCTGTGTTGTAGCTAGCCTTTTAGCACTTTGGATTTTGAAATGTCTTTAAGGCAGAAGGAGAATATATCATGTATGTACAGTATTTATGGAGTAGCTGAAATGCTACCATATCATAGGCAACTGAAGTTTGTTTATCCAGTTGGAAAGGTAGCTTTTCAGTTAGTTAGTTGGCTGCTTACCTGGAAGAACTCTCAGTTCATTTTTAGAGACTGGTTTTTAAACTTTGATGTTAGGACCCTTTTATATCTTAAAATTTGTTGAGAACCCAAAAATGCTTTGTTTATTTAGTTATAATTACCAGTATTTACTGTATTATAAATGAAAAATTAGAAATTAAAAAAATTACATATTAAAAAATGATAAACTCATTACATGGTAAACTCATACTTAAAAGCTTTAAGAAAATAAACTGTTTTTCAATGCAAAAAAGAAATTGGTGAGGAGAGTGGCATTGTTTTACCTTTCCACACATCTTTTTAATGTTTGACTTAATATTGCTGTTATATCTGTTTCTGCATTTAGTTTTTTGTGATATTGTATATCATATAGTCTTTGGAAAATGACACCTTAAACTCAAGAAAGTGAGGGTAAAACGTCAAATAATGTCTTAGTGGTGTTTGGTGACTTAAGTAGTTTTGACCTATTGAACCCTAAAGAGTCCCTGGACCATACTTCGTGAATTACTGGTTTAATTGATGGACTAATAAATGCTATCAGATTCCTATTTTTGTCGAGATGCTGTAGTCACACTTTAAATTATGAGGCTCATTATCATAATCATTCTGATCCAAACAAGTTTCCTCCTTTAGCCTTAGACTTTCACACCTACCTACCCTCTCCTAAATCATACTATTTATATTTTTAAAATTTTTACTGCTCCTTTTAACTGCCATGTTTAGAGAGTCCTTACATTCTGGCCTGATCTCTAAATCTGCTGATATTTCTGTGTCTATGCTGGAAAAAAATCATTGATAGTAATATTTCTGTGTTTATTGTGGAAAAAAAGTGAATGATTACCTAGTTCTAGATATTCTCTGACTGAATGTTGTGGGGTTACTAGTGAATTTCGCTTTCTTGTCTAATAAATGTTCAAAGAGACCTTTTTGAAGACTCATGATTAGGCAGCTGCTATGGCATAGCACTTTAAACCATGCCTCCTATACCTTACTGCTTCTCTAGTGTTTCATTGTGGTTATACCAGTGGTATCTATTTTGCTATAATGCATTATATCATCTTTTAGTCATAAAAGTAAAATATACTTAAAGTACATACTGTGTATTTTATTTGAGGTATGGGAATGGATGGTCCAGGTTTTGGAGGAATGAATAGAATTGGAGGAGGTATGTATAAAGATTTGTTTTTTTGTATGTACCCATCACCATTTTTAATAAACTAGAAACTGTGTTGAGAATTCCATGAAAAAAAAAAGTCATGGTTTATTGTTGGCTCATGTTCTAAAGGCTGCTAGCAGAAATTGAGCCTGGTACATACTTAAAGGAAGGTGATGTGTTAAGAAGTAGCTGCACAAGGTAGGGTGGATGTAGAGCTTACTGGTGAGACTTAATATTTACAAAATGTACCTTTCAGCTACATCACTGACAGTCGGATCTCAAAATTAATCTTTATTCCATAGGAATAGGGTTTGGTGGTCTGGAAGCAATGAATAGCATGGGAGGATTTGGAGGAGTTGGCCGAATGGGAGGTAGGTAAATGTATGCAGTGGGAAGTGTGGGCACATTTAGTTTTCCCTATTATTAAAGTTTCCCCCCTATAACTTAGGAGTGGGTGCAAAAAATGTCTTCGGAAGGCATGTAGGCACTAGGAGATAAGGACAGGCCTGGTGGGAATGGGGATGATATGTGTGGCATATGAGGTAAATTGGGTAAATGACAGACTGTTTTGTTTTTGTGACTTATGCTGTCTTTTTATAATTTAGATACATTCCTGAATGTTTTCGTCCTGCATTGATATATTTGAAAAAGGTTAATGTGTTGCACAATTTTTTCAGAGTTGTACCGTGGTGCCATGACTAGTAGCATGGAGCGAGATTTTGGACGTGGTGATATTGGAATAAATCGAGGCTTTGGAGATTCCTTTGGTAGACTTGGTAGGGCTGGCTGCATACTTCTTTTCTTTTTGTAGGCTATAATTTTTGAAATTTGGTTTCTCTTTTTTTGTGAAAAATCAGAAAATCATAATGTTTTATACAACTTACTACTGAAGAAAACACTTTAAAGATTTTAATATGCTAGCTCTCTTTTTCAACATCTTACATATTTGAACTCTATTTTCAGAAGACTTTATGCTTTTCAATTATTGTAAATCAGAGCACATAGTACCTTGGGAATTTTAAAGTATGATTATTTAAATTAATTAGTATATTATCTTTCCATCCTTGTTTAGGCAGTGCAATGATTGGAGGGTTTGCAGGAAGAATAGGAGCTTCTAACATGGGTCCAGTAGGATCTGGAATAAGTAGGTTTAAATTTTACTAGAATTTATTCAGTAATATTTGAGTGCTTGCAAAGACTTTGCAAGAGTAGTTATTGTAGTATAGTAATACTTTGTTCTTATATGTTAATGTGTCTTGCTATAATTTGAGAAATCTTGATAATTGAGTGAAGCCTTTCTGTTTGGTTATTGTTTGAAATTTCTAAATTAACTGTTTGAATTTTACTTCTTTGATATTTCTAAACTGTGTGTTAACGGCCAATCCAAGAACCTTCTTTCCAACTAGGGAATCTGGGGATTTCTCTGATCATGTGTCAGGAACAAGTTTTGCTTTAGCACCAACTTTGTTTCCTTTCTTATTTTCCATAATAGCTATTAGTGACTAGCTTATTTTGTTTGTAAACATCTATGTCTTTTGGTAAATGCAGATATAACACTCTTAGGCATCTCCTGAGCTTGAGTCAGGCTAAGGTTGAAAGAGGTACTTATTTCTTTTCCTCTTGAACCTTTCCCGTAATAGCATCAAGAGTAGTTGCAACACTGGGGAATGCCGAATCTCCCATCCGTCCATTTCCACTACTACCTTTTAGGTCTTACATTAAGCCTGAATACATGGATTATTTATTATTATTTTTTTAACCTCTTTTGCTTACTGGGACATGTCTGTGAGCTCTCCATACTTTATTGACTTCCTTTAATTGATGAAATTTCACAAACAACATACAACCTATTTAAACTATTCTAAGAGTAAATTCTAAAATCCTGTCAGCTGAAGACATCTACTTCCATTGTATCTTGCTCCTCATTTTATTCTTCCTTCCATCATCTTTTAGCCTCAGCCATTTCCTGTTAGTCCTAACTTCCGTACCTTCCTCTTTTATCTCAGTGTCTGTACTTCTGTTTCCCTGATTTTATATTGGTTATTCACAAAAAGCCAATTTGAGGGTGATGTTGATTTTTAGAATTTCCATGTTTGGGGATATTACGTACAAGACAAAAGGTTTGATAATGAGTAAGATGGGAGTAAGTGAAAAGGACAGGAAATCGAGTCAGTGCATAAGAATGACGTAGGTATGAGTTCGGAGCTAAATTCTTAAGCTCTGGCTAACGGGGAGTGACAGCATTTTTTGTTCCCTTGACAAGTTCTGAATAATATTGAGATTAAAAGTTATGTTTTGCTATGATTATTGAATTACCATGAGAATAAAAACTGGGAAACAGAGGTGAAGATGCTGAGGTGAAAGATAAGGTAGGAAAGGAATATTTGTAGGAGAGTACGGTGAGAGCGGCTTGAGTGCTAGAGTTGTAATAATTTGAATTTATCTCTGTGTATCTTTAGCAATTATTATGCTTGATATTGGAAAATAAAAATAAGGATAAGAACAACTGTCATGTTATTGGAAGCAGTGATTGGTAGAGGATTTATATATTTATATATTTAATGATCAGAATATAATTTTATACAGTTATATATGTATAATATATTTATACAGTGGCTAGAATTTCTCAGCTAACTAAATATATACTGAAGCAAATTCTGTTCTTTGGAAAGTTATGTTATCTGTATGAAAATAATTTTATGTTTGTATATTATTTAATTATATAAACAAATTAATTTTCCCCCTTCTTTCTCAAAAATGATTATCTCCTCTTCTTTTCCTCCTTTCTCCTCTTCTCCTTTTCCTTATGTTTTTGAAACAAAAACACAAAATTCCCAAATCCCCCCGTCCTTTCTTGAAAATCCAGGTGGTGGAATGGGTGGCATGAACAGTGTGACTGGAGGAATGGGGATGGGACTGGACCGGATGAGTTCCAGCTTTGATAGAATGGGACCAGGTATAGGAGCTATACTGGAAAGGAGCATCGATATGGATCGAGGATTTTTATCGGGTCCAATGGGAAGCGGAATGAGAGAGAGAATAGGCTCCAAAGGCAACCAGATATTTGTCAGAAATGTAAGCAAATAAATATTAAGGATAATTGAAATTCTTTTTTTTCTTGTATATGTGTTACTAATACCTCTTTTCATTCTAGCTACCTTTTGACTTGACTTGGCAGAAACTAAAAGAGAAATTCAGTCAGTGTGGTAAGTATGCAAATGACTGCAGATATGTTGATATTGATTATGGAGGAAAATTGGTTTTAAACTTTTATACGCTGTGTTTAGACCTTTGCCTGTCCAGATGCCTGTTCCTGGATAGTCTTGATAGTGGGCCAGGTCTAATTCCACTTCAAATAAATGAATTATTTCACTATCTTTTGACTTAGAACAGTGCTGTTACTACTAAGTAATAACAAGGTTTAGGTAACAAGGTTTAGGATATATCATTGTTTTTCTGTTAATAAAGATAGGACTTGTTTTATTACCTCATTCTAAAAAGATTAATTGTTTGCATTAAAATTTTTTTTCTCGTGAGAAACGTTAATAAGTGGTATATTTATTTCCTTGTTTATAGTATAGTGCCACTGCACTATATATAGTGCTTTGTCAGCATAACCACCTGAGATGCTGATGTCCAATTGATAAGGGAGTTAATAGGTGAGACCCATTCTACATACACTGTATTCCTTCCCAACACAGGAAACCTAGGTGGTAGCATACAACCCACTGCCAGGAATGCCTTGGACATGGGTACATTTTGGTTGCTCTTCTTATTCTTTTATAAAGTGTTCTTAACCATAATGATACTACTTATACAACCCTAATGTGTTCCATAAGTCTGTGGAAGATTAGGTGGTTTATTACTTTTAAAAAAGAACTTTTTATATACCATACTTACTTTTGTTACAAAATATCTTAATTGACTAAATTCTCACTTTTTGTTTCTTTTGCAATAATGGGAGAATTCATGTGAGTGTTATAAAGTAAAATATTTTTTGCTAGTATTAATATTTTTCTGCTATTGCATGGAATCTCAGAAACTGTAGCCACAATAGGAAGTTACATAAGGTAACATATATATAATTTCTGAGGTCAGGTAGCATATAGATAATTTGTGAGGTCTTGAAGGAATAGGTTTAGTGTTCTGTCACAAAATAACCTTTGTGGCCGCTACAGAGATAATATTATATCATATTTCTTTATGTCTACTCCTTTGTAGCTTTTATTTATATTAATAGTTATTTGTTCAAGTTTTCTTCCATCCTGCATGGAAACTCTTGAAGGCAAGAACTGTCTTTTTATCTTAGCTCCTTTTGTTGCCTCTGTACATATAGTAAGAGTTTATGAAAAGTTTATAAGTTAAGCTTTCTGGGTAGATGTTCATTTATTCAGTAATTTATTCATTAAATCCACAAACATATTTTTGGCAGTCTGCTAGGCACTAGAATTTTGAAAGTGAAAAAAGTCAGATGCCCTCAAAGAACATACAGCATGAATTTGTCTAGGATATTCTGTTGACTCTCTTTCTTGATCATCCTTTTATTTTGCACTAATCAAAAATTCAAGAAAAAGTTGTTGAAAACAAGTTAACTGGTTGATAGTCACCATTAAGAGAAAGCAAAATAGTAAAGTGGCATTGAGGTATTGGTCTTTGCAGGAGTGAGAAGATCTACCAGAATGAGTAAGCAGTGTCTGGCAGCAGTGTCTGGCCATGAATCCTGTAGACTACAGAGGAAAGAAGGTATATAGGGTCTTAGTGAAATACATCAAATGACAAGCAGTGGCAGCAAGTATAATCTCTGTTGATGTTGTTTCAGTGAAAAAAAATCTCCAAATAAGATATGACATTATGTTAAAAGTAGAAATGAAACTTAGCAAGATAAAGAGAAAAGCAGGACAAAGAAATGACAATGAAAAGGTGACCAATGTTGAGTTGACTGTTCTTTATTCTTTGTAGTCTGCTTTCCTTTCGAGGTTAGATATGAGCAAGGCTTGCAGCAAACTTCAAGTCTTTGGTGGGCTTCTGGTTGGAGTGGCCTGATGACCTGAGGACATCAGCAATTGCAAGACATTTTTTGAATGGAAAAAGCATTCTAATCTACATAGAAAGTTTTTACAGTATTTTAGCCATATAAAATAATGGTTAAATTATTATTCTTTGCTTTGCTATTTTAGCTCTATCCTTATAATCCTTTTTTGATTATAATTATATTTTAAGATTAATGATTTTTTTGTTTTATCAATTCTTTTGTAAAAGTCTCTGACTCTTAGATTTTATATTAAGATAATACCATATTTACACAATTCCCTATATCTCCCTTATTTTTAACCTTGAACTACATTGATGGGAAAGAAAGTTATAATAATACAGAATTAAGTGTCCAGCTATTGACAACTATGCAAATTGTCTAGCTAGTATGAACTGAACCATCCATTTTTCTGCCATGTCACTTATTTATAAATCTTTTTCTTAGTATGAGACATTTCTGTTTAACATGCTGCAAGCCAGTAATGGCCTCTTGGGCAGTAAAAGGCAGTCTTCTGTTGTTATTCTTCTTCTTGTAAGCCCAAAGAGAGTAAGTATATTCTCTTGCTTGCTTCTTAGTAAAAATCTAGTAGTACTCCATGCATCGCCCATAAACAATGTCTGTCAGTAAAGGGTACCACTGGCAACCCCTCTGCTTATAAATTATCTCTAGTGATTAACTGTTTTCGATGGAGTAATTACAAAGGCTGAGTAAATGTTATTTTATGGGTTATATTACCCTCAATAGAACATTTTCTCAACCTTCGTAATTTAGAAAAGATTGCTTTCATATCTTTCCAAATATAACAAGATGAGAAGTAAGTGAATGTAACTGCTATTTTCTAATTCCATCAAGCCCCTGAAGGTAATGTTTTTGACCCTAGCTGGTAAGATACACGTCTTCCTGTAGCAAAAGAGATCTTTCTTTTTATCTTGCCTTGTATAATTCCTCAGAGAGATGCATTTTCAAAAAGGCTCAGTATAAATAAATTAACCTATTTAGTATTGGACCCCACATCATTTCAGTTTGTACTAATGGGGTCAAATGGGCATAGTCTTTTAAATGTGCTCCCATGTCATCTGTATACTTTAGCTGCATTCTGGCCTTCTGGATCAGTATGATGCAAGACTATAACATTTTAGAACTTCAGCACAAGGAAAACCCATTTTCAATTATTCTTGCTATAAACCATATAAACAGATATAACTTTGTTCCACAGATTTCCATTATGTAGTATTTCTACATCAGTATGCTTGTTAACTGCATGGAAAATGAAGGCTTATGGTAGATTTTATTGATTAAAGTACTTGCTGCTTCAAGCATTTTGAGTGGACTTTAGAATAACTTAAGAGTAAAAATGCAGTAATAGTACAAATGATATATGATGAGCATTCATTGATAGGCACTATCTTTCGTTTGTAAAGAAACAACAGAAAACTTTGCTTTTCTATTCCTTATATCCTTATTATGTTTTCTTATGGTAGAATGTCTGATTTTCCTTTTTTCATCCATGGTTGTGTTAACAGCTTCATGTAGGCAGTAGATTTTATTGAACATTCTTTAATTTGGTCTATTTTTACATGTGTTTTTTTACCAGCATATCCCAAAATATACCCCACAAGATGTCAATAGGCTGGGTTAAATAAAACAGAAAGGTTTCTTTTACTGTGGGACGAATCTTTTTATTACTAGTATATGTAACAGCAATATGTTTGATTATTCTGTGATATTGATTTCTCGTGGCATACTATTTTGTCCTGTGCTGTTGCCAAAATAGCAGTCCTGTTTTTGTTTTCTTGGAATCGCACAAGATTATTAGATATTTAACTTAGTTGAGGAAGTTCTCAGAGCATATAAAAAGTCAGGCAGGTCTGATTTTAATCAGCTATTTGAAACTAATTTTTTTCTCCTGAATTATTTATCTTTAGAAAAGAAAATATTTTAGTTGCTGTTTTTATAGGATCAGGAAGAAACTTAGAAAATTTATAACTGTTTTTGGTTCTGTCCTGCTGGGATTCTTTTTGGGGGAGCAGTCTAACCATGAAACAAATATTTATGGGCTACTGTCCATGTAGCTTGAACATCAGAACTGTAAGAAAGTTCAAGTATCTTAGCTGAGGGATCTTGTCAACTGGAAAATTTTTTAGGTCATTGCGAGGTCAGGAATTTGGAGGTCTGAGTGCTGATTTCTGAACTGAAAGAGACAATTTAAGAGAAACACAAAGAAGAGAAACTGTCCCGAAAGATTGAGAGACAGATTATGCAAGAAATAGTGACATATTTTCCATTGAGGTTTTGAAGAAGATTTCTTGCTTAGGTGAACTTTACTATTGCTAATAAACCTATGATGGGATACTTAATTTTTAGGTAAAATTAGGGTAAGGAAGAACCTTTAACCTTAAAAGTCCTTGAAAATCCTCCACAGTTCTTTTCAAAATAACTGTAAGGTGCTGTCCTTTACTAAGAGCTTCTTTAATTAAACTTGCTTTTTTTCAGGTACCAGCATTCAAGATATTAAGAGGACTCTGGAAATTGTGCTGCATTTATCTTTAAATTGTTTTAAAATGTGTTTTCCAGTTTCATTTTATGATGCTTATTAGAAAGTGTGATTGCTGTGTTTTTGCTTTTTTTCCCCATTTCGTTCCAGTTGTGGGCTGAATATTATTTGGATCTACTTTAACTATTATCATGTAATTTCTCTGGAGATTAGCCTATTTTATAACTTTTCAGAACACATTTAAAGACTATCTGGCATGTGTAACAAGATACTGGTTTTGTCTCAGTGTGACATGTATTATCTTAGACCATTTAATTAGTGTTTAGTAGGTGAGCAGTTGACTACCAGTTGGTTTTCAAAAAGAAATGCAGTAATAGGGAGTGGATGAAAAAGTGAAAGTATAAAGTAGTCCATCATGTTATAGGTAAGAGATCAAGATTTCCACAGAAAAAAATCTTCCTTATGGATTGATATTAAAATTTGATCTTACCTTCTGGAAAGGGCTTATGCAGTTTTTTGACAGGCCCTCTTGTTTTTACCTTTCTCCTTTTTTTCCTCCTCCCTTTATAGAGCTAAATATGTCTGGCTGTCTGATTTGGTTGCCAGACTAAAATTAGCCCATAGTGATCTGGCAACTATAATATTTAAAGTCTTCTAACTTGATTTGTTTTGACATGTACATCTAGTGGGGAGGGAAATATTTTGGTAAGTAGTCACACCCTAAATTTATGACCTGTTTGGATTGAGTGACCATGTATTCCAGTTTGCCTGGGGATAGTCTCACTTTACATCTGTTACTTATGTGTAATTATTGATAACTCCCCTTTTACTCTCAAAAGTGTTCTGTTGTAGTGATGAATTCTTGTGGCCACTTTGTATTTTGATAAATGGTATTGATTTACTTCAGATACCAGTCTCTAGAGTTAGCAATGATATAACTACATAAGGACAGGTTTCTGGTTTTCTTCCTCTTTCCTGAAGCTTCTCTGAGATTCTCCTTGACATCACTGTTTTTACCTTTATTGATTTAAATCTATGCTATCTTTTCCCGTGACTATTTCTGTAGCATATTTGGTGCCATTCTTAGACTTTGAGCTCAAATTGTGGTATTGAATAAACGGCTTTGGCATTGTGGTTGCAAAGCAGAATTAGTGGGGCCCTTTGTAGCCTGATAGAAATTAGATTTCTGGTCAGTTGCACTTGTTTGCAGGGGATAAAGGAGTGAAATGAGGATAAAAGGGAAGGAAGAGAGAGATTAGGGAGACTGGGCAGTAAGCAACCATTTATTCTAAAAATAATTTTGTTTAAATGTGTAAGTTTGTCATAGGGCATGGTGAGTTGGTGGCATTTTGTGCTAGCTTGACTTATTGCTTATACAATTAACCTCAGGAATTAGGGATTTAACATAAATAAAATACATTAAATCCTAGGAAAATCTTTCCTGATTCCAATTTTGTATATTCTAATATGTATATATTTATTACTTTATATGAATTGTATTTTACTCCAAATATAATGCTTATATTATTTGTTATTTAAAAAAATGATGTTTTTAATCAAATTATCACAATTGGCTATGAGGAATTTCAAACCTATAAAGTGAAATAGAACTCATTTAAACTGACTAGTAATTCTGTAACTTTTATTTTACAGGTCATGTAATGTTTGCAGAAATAAAAATGGAGAATGGAAAGTCAAAAGGCTGTGGAACAGTCAGATTTGACTCCCCAGAATCAGCTGAAAAAGCCTGCAGAATAATGAATGGCATAAAAATCAGTGGCAGAGAAATTGATGTCCGCTTGGATCGTAATGCATAATTTCAAGCCATGGTTGGAACATTCCTACATCTGTTTTGCTGAATCTCCTAGTAAAAGTCATTTTTTTTTAAAGTAATATTGTATGCTTACAAAAGCTGTAAAAATGAACTTTTAAAACTCCCACCAGCTTTTAACAGTATAATGTTAAAAATATACTGTAATTTTTGTTAATCTCAAGTTTGGGTTTTTAAAGACAGCAAGTCTGGTCATTCAGTTTAAATGAATGGTTATACTGTTTTTAATGAAATAAGCCATTTTCTTGTTGTTTTCAGTACTACATAGTTGGATTTGTTTGTTCTAGTTTCTCCAGTTTTTGTCAACTTATTGTATGGTAAAACAGATTTTCTGCCCCCCAAAACTTCTGTTTTATAATATGTAATTCTTCATGAAAAGAAAGGGCTCAGAAAAATTAGGATATGATTTTGCTTGGTTTTAAATTACTGTAAGTTTTAGATTCTAAGGTTCAGGATTTTAAAAATTTGATTTAAATGAAGAAATTGATTTTTCTCTCTGCCCCTCCCTGCCATTCATATTTTCTGCATAACACTGTTAATAATATCAACCTCCACAGCCCCTTATTTTATTATTTCCAATAATTCCAAGTTCATATAGAACTGATAATGTAGCAAGCCCCAAGTATGATAATAGGCAGACTATTCCCAACTTTCTGTCTAGTTTCCAGCCATTGAAGTGAACTGCTAAAAAAAGAAAAATAATTGAAACGTTGAGAGAGATGGTTGTGTAAGTTAGTCCTCTGCTGTTTACTTCTATAGGAGCTGATCCATTTATAAATGCAGTTTTAATAAACCATGGAATACCAAGGCACAACATATCAAACACATTGGATCCCACGATGTTAGACATAGCCATATCTCCTTTCCCTACAAAAGAAAAGCATATTGTTAAAATGTGCTTACCAATACTGTATTTTATTAATCTTCATAAGAAAAGAAACACTGGATACTTTTTTGTTGTTGATTCATTTTGGAAAATTGTTAGAGCAAAAGTCTTACTGAATTTGTATTTTTAAATTTTTCTTGGGTTAGTATTTAAAGTCTTAACATTTATTTAATTATATTTATTAAACCATTTTTCAATAAGGTATCTAGCTTACTTGTTGCTTTTCATTGTAATTTAACATGGTCAATTACTATTTAATGCACATTTCAAATGAATATTATTTGGGGGATTAGATTGTGTGAAATTAACCTGCTATTAAATAGTAAACTCTTCCTCTTGAGTCACTTTTTTTTTTCCCCTTCAAAGTATGTTACTGAGGAAGTAAACTTTTTTTTTTTTTTTTGAGACTGAGTCTTGCTCTGTTGCCCAGGCTGGAGTGCCGTGGCGCGATCTTGGCTCACTGCAACCTCCGCCTCCTGGATTCAAACAATTCTCCTGCCTCAGCCTCCTGAGTAGCTGGGATTACAGGCACATGCCACCATGCCGGGCTAATTTTTCAATTTTTAATAGAGATGGGGTTTCACCATGTTGGTCAGGCTGGTCTCAAACTCCTGACCTTGTGATCCACCCGCCTCGGCCTCCCAAAGTGTTGGGATTACAGGCGTGAGCCACCACACCCGGCCGGAAGTAAACATTTTTAAAGCTACTTTTACTCATTCTAGCTATGTAGAATGACCATTGCAGCTTGAGGGACTTAGTTCTTACCTTTTCTTGCGACCAACACGCTTGTAATTGTGTCTGGTATGCTTGTTCCTGCTGCTAATAAAGTAAGGCCCATTACTGTATCTGGAATTTCTAGTGTTTCCCCTGTAATAAACAGATACTTCAGGTTACAAATCTCAAAGAGTCACTAACCATCTTTTGCAGTTATTTGGGGTATTTCCTTCCTGAACAAAAATAAAATAGGCAGATTTAGAATTCAGAGCCAATATGTGCTTGCTTAGTTTTTTAGCTAGCAACATATTTGAATCAGGCTGGTAATTTGGGTAACCCAGGTAGCACAGATTTTTAATGACATATCTAAAGATGTGTGTAACAGCCAAAATTCTGCCAGTGAGAAATTTTCCTCTTTGATATTCTTACGGAAGATGTTTATGTCCACCATTATCTCATCAGGGCTGTGCTGAATATTTGCTAATGAGAGTGATCATTCCTGTTTTTCTTTCTTAAAAATTTTTATTAAATTAGAGTTAAGCAAATTAATTATAGCTATCTTTAAGCTATAAATGTGTTAACATGTATATATCATTTATTACATTCTACTTTAGTGATATACCTTAATTTAGTGGGCTTTGGCAGGGTGGGGAGGGGGAACATTCATTAATCTCTCAGGAAAACAAAACCTGTTTGTTTTCTACTTGAGTCTAACATATGGTCCCAATTTATTAATACTTCTGTTAAATTTGATGTCAGGTCAACATTGATCAGAAATGTATTTATTCTCAGAAACAGAACCAGAGAGAAGTTAAAAAAAGTTAAAACGTATGTAACTGTTCTTTTAATGTTGTAATTGAAAACTTGGTTTAGCATCTTTTTTTCTTTTTCTTAAAATGCCAATTAAAATAATTAGAAAGTAGCTTATTTATTGCATGCTTACATATTGATACTGGAATTGGAATTGGTTAATTTCTATTACTGGCTTTGCTAGAATTCATACGTGCATAAATAACACTAATATTTATAATCTTGGGGGGCTGTTCTGTGATCTATTACATGATTTTTGCTCTCTTTTTATTTTCCTAATATCAAGTGTGTTCTGGCTGAGTGAATTTGGATAGATATAATATGCAAGCTAATTGGACTTTTTCATTTTTCTCATTAAAAAAGGAAGAAATAATCTGCTTTTTGCTGGCATACTATTCTAACACTTACACTAATTTGGGAAAAGTCAAGGGTCAACAAATTTTTGTGTCTGTGAGGGGCCAGATATTAATTATTTAGGCTTTGCAGGCTGTATGATTTCTGTTGCAGTTACTCAGCTTTGCAAATGTAGTGTGAAAGCAATCATAGATAATATGTAAAACCTTACTAATAAAAACAAGCTGGGTTATTTTGGCACACAGGCAGTAGTTTGTTCACCTCTACTATAAGTTAATTTGGGTTAACCTTTGTAGGAGAAATTACAGATTATTTTTGTCTTTGTTTATAGTTTTTTTGTTTAGAGACTATAGTGGATTATGGCCAAGCAGCAGTAGTTAGTTAAGTCTTAATCATGAAGGTGGTAGAAACCTAGAATAAAACTTTTATACCCTTTTCACTCATTTCATAGTATGTTTGTAGTGCCATGTTGAAAAGTCAAATAAAATATAATCTGGTTAAGCAGTGAGCACCCATTGTTTTCCCAAAAATAGAGCTCCTTGCTTTTTTTTTTTTTTTTTTTTTTCCATTATGGAATGGAATTCAATATAAAGAGTATTGTGGATCCCATGGAATATGATTAAATTATTAGCATAATAAAAAGACATCCTATGAATTTGATTTCATTTATAAGATCTCTTGAATTGTACCCTAGGCTGAATAACAGTGGAAAATACAGTTTATATATAATATGCAACTCACAAACCCAAATGATCTTGTTATAGTAATACTTAATCATTTTGTAAATGGTACTAATCTTCAGTCTTGCTGAAAAGAAATTTGCTGTGTAGCTAGACTACTTTGAGTGAACATATGCAATTCGTTCATATATGAAAATTTTCAAGTTGTGCTATTGTACTTAAAATACATACCAGTTATTGTGACCATCCAAACCAGGATATATGTAAATGCAGATATCCATATTGCAGACATGGAAAAGGTTATTACAAAGTAGTTTTTCCAAAACTTTGTTCTACAATCTGGTGTGGTTAGAAAAAGTAATGTAATAATAGGAAGGGATAATACCCAAAAAATTCTCTTTAAGTCTGCTTCAGGCATGTTGAAAACACTTGGTGGATCTGTTGTGGAAAAATTAAACACTTTTGAGTTTTCTCAAATGGCTAATTAAGTTATGCCTATTTAGAAAGCTATATTGAAATAAATTAGCTGTATCAGTTTTTAAAAGGCTGTTTAAAACATTTGAGTACCTCATTACTGATATTGCTGGTGAAAGAAACTAATTGAAACTTGAGGACAGACAATGTAAGATGTGATACTCAGCACTTCTTTATTTGGGGCCTTAAAGCTATCAAAATGTCTCGGACCATTCGCTAAATATATTATAGATAGTGTTCATGAAGTGTCAGTTGGACATCTCATGTGGATTGTCTTCAGTAACTTTTTGTTTAAGGGATTAACCTGGCTTCTAACTTGGCTACTCCAGTTGTCTCCACTTCACAATATTGATGATGCCTCTGCCTGCTCTATGTACCAGATAATGTATACTTAGAGAATATAAAATAATGATAGCATAATTTTTTTTATTAAGTTGCATATCCTAATTCTTATTGGAAGTTTTTTTTTTTTTTGCCCTATTTCATTACTATGTTATTTATTAAATTCAGACTTTACCACAGTTCATAGAAAGAACCTTAAAATAGGAGGTAGTATATCATCTAAAATATAATTTATGAAAACTGAGTATATTACTTTATTCAATTTAATTTAGTAGAAGGATAATGATAATATATTGGATAAAAATTAGAATTTACTTTAAAATTGTTCAAAATTTGTATGGCATTTACAAAATAATGTAATAAATGGATCAAATTATGTCAAAACTAATGCTAGTACAACAACTCATAAAAAGTTGGTCAAGTTTCAACCAATGTGCCATTAAGTAATATTGGATATAATTTCAACATAATCAAAGAATTTGGATTGGTTTTTTTGCGTTTCTTATTGTAAGCTTAACTTAGAGATGTGTACCTCTTACACCTGAAAGAGGAGAAGCTAAAATTTTTGTAAAAAGGGGGAAAAGTCATGTTCTAAAAGTTTAAGTAGTACATTAGAATAAGTACCCTCCTAAAGGCTTAATTAAAATTAGAATCTGTTTTGGACAACCACTTTATAAAAAGGTAACCCATGAGCTTATAATTCTGACCATAGCTGAATTTGACTTCCTACTGAACATAGTTACCTAAATGTTTTGCTACTGCTTTAAACAGTGGCAAACCTCAACTGCTTCTCTTCTTTCTTCCAAACCAGCCCCTGTTCCTGAGTTCCCAGTTTTAATATGTGGTGTTCCCATGTTCTCAGTCAAGATTAAAACATAGGAGTTGTCTTTGTTCCTTTTTCTGGCCCCATATAGTCTTGGTGATGCTTCCTTCATGTAGTCTCACATCTGTTCTCATTTATTCCCACCACTTTCACTTGGTCTAGGCACCTAGTAAACACATCAGCTGCTGTAACAGCCTCTTACAGACCTCCTTGTCTCTTACTTCATATTTTAGTTTGGTAAACATCGCTTAGGGTAACATTACTAAGATAACAGTTCTAACAATTTCTCTCCTCAGAAACCTTCCAAGATTCTTAGAATAGCATTTAAGATTCTTCTTATCCTATTCCTTTCTACCTTTCCTCTTCTTCCTTACTATGCATATACTGTGCTCTATGTGTTTTATCTCTGCATCATTTATGAAATAAAGACCTCAGTAGCTGTTACTTACTGGTCATAACATCATGTCATAGTTAAAATCTTTCCTGTCAAGCAAGGCCCAATTTAAATGCTCCCTTCTCTGTGAAAATCTCCTATCTATCCTCACCACATTTTGACACTGTCCCATTTGTGAACCACAGTCACACTTCATTTCTTTCTCTTTTTATGGTACTTACTTAACGTTTATATTTTAGCTATTTTGTATTTCCTATGATACTGGAAATTCCTTAAAAGTAGGGAGTTAGTCTTTATCATTTCTGAGTCTTCACAGTCTTTTTTGCATAAAAAGCACACCATACTTGCTGAATTGAAATGAAATTTTAAAGTTTTTCTTTTGTGAATAGACTTAATAATGGGCAAGATTTAGTGATTACCTTCAGAAACCTGACTAAGACCATGTAAACTTATAGAGAGCTGAGAGTAGCCAGAATCTTCATAAAATATTCCACTATCAGTTCTTGATTGCCGACGAATGAATGGTTGACCTTCATCTTCCCATCCCATTAGTAGCTGTTGTTCACTTCTTTCCATAGCTTTGGCAAGACAGGTGCAGCAAGGACTGCATTTCTTTATAATATATTGGTTAATTTTAATGTCAAAACACAGCACCAAAACATATAATCCATATATCAAAAGCAGTAAAGTTCCTTCATACCTATAAATTAAGAGAAATTTGTGTTTTTAAATTAAAAGTGAAAGTCATTTTAGAGTTGATAGCTTTTGGGCAGTATTGATTGAATGATTTTCTAACAAAAGTAGCCATAGAACAATCAAACATTTCTAGATATTTTTTGTTTTGTAGATTTTTCCAAACTTGGTTACAGCATTATTATAAGTTTATTGACAAAAGTCGGACACTTCTATGGTTTTTTTTTTTTTTTAAAAAAAAAAGATCAACAAACTCATTTTTACTTGTGGATTCCTTCCAAATGGTAGGTATAAAAATGCAATGAAAATGATAATTGGAGATTTTCAAAATAAATGTATAGTGGTGAACATTTTCTACCTCAGCTCATTGGCATAATACATTCCCCAAAATACATAATAATTATAAAATAATATAGTAACTGTTAAGTTATTTCAACTGTTCAAGTTTTCTAATATAGGAACTTTGTGTAAAATATTATTCAGAATATGGGAGGCTTTGGCTGGGATTTTTCAGTTTGTCATCATTTTTAATGATTTGAATGTAGCTGAATTTGGCTTATAGTCACAAGAAAACAAGATGTTCTAAAATATAAAATTATACCCTGGGAACCAAGAACTGTTTCCCTGTACTCTGGCAGTTAGCTAATGCCATCACATTTGAACCTTGAATTTACCTTTTATAGCCAGTGAATCTCTGTCTGCTACATCTTCTGATTTCTCTAATTGAGGAAGCATTATCTTGGATACTTTCACAGCCACTGTCCCTTACAGACAACTGCTGAATTCTAGAAGGATTTCTACTCTACCAACACAGTGTCTTAGGGAGACAGACTAGAAGACAGGATGATTAGTTTAGAAATTATGCTTCTGGCTAGGTTTGAAGTTTCTTGATAGCAGATATTATGCTGTACTGCAAAGTTGTGGTTCTCCAGATGGACACTATTACATTTTTTTTTGCGTATTTTTCTGGTGTCCTCTGGAAGTTATGCAATGTGTAACCTGTGTAGCTGTGTTTTGCATTTCATTATCCCTTATATCTAGCATAGTGATAAGAACCTAGTGGGTGCCTGCTACTTACTAGTTGAAAAAGTTTGTCTCTGTCCACTCAGTCACCACATTTTTCATTTTCTTGGACCAGCTAGGCAGAGATTACAGGGAAAGCAAACAGTTTTTAATATTAAAAGCTAAGCATTGTTGGTTCTTAGAGGAAGGCTATAGTTTCTCTGAGCATCAGAAGTTTGGAGGAATTTAAAAAGACTTCTTTTACTTCCTCTACCATCCTTCTCCAGTCTTTTGTGACCATGATCACTTCTAACCAAGGCAAGGTGAGCGGTAACCCAGCAGAAGAAAAAGTCAACTGTTGTGGCTTTAATAGACAACAGAAGTTGGGAAACTTACTGAATAGGCAGCCAGTGGGGAGAAGGAAAAGTGGTGGTCTCCAGTGACTAGTGAGAGAAAAAAGGAGACTGTGAAGTGACTAAAAAGAAATTGCAAACTAGTGAGAAGAATACAATCAGCAATTGTGATAAGGTTAACTCAGAGACCTGTTGGAATATGGTATAGAAGTGGCAGATTATATGAAATAATATTTCTGAAAAAAATATTACTGAACCATCAGAAATTCATAAAATCTCTAATTTTTACATAAGAATTATTTTCAAGCTTACCAGTAAACTTGGTTGTCATATATTATACCAAGAACCGCTGCTACACTAATTGCGTACGCTGCACAGTCTCTGAATAGGGGCCAACATGATAGTGTTGAAACCTGTAATATGATGTTATTTCCATTACATTGTAACTTCAAGTACAATCCTTAGTGTAATACTAAAATTGTTTATATATTTGTAGTTAAATATTGTTATCTTTTGCATATTGCTTAGAGAAAAAAATGTAAAATTGTGTTCTAACACATGAACTTTCATAAATCTGACCAAGAGCTATTTGTGGATTAACATTAAATTGAATACATGCTGTTTTTCTACTGATTAATAAATTTGATTGCACATATTATTAGTGCCCTGTTGTCCATCCCAGACGGCGAACAGTTATCTTTAGAATTTTTTTAAGACAATACATTTTGTTGAATGGTTTTGTTACATACCATGTTAGATAGTAAGCCACAGGCAGCACAGATGCCAAGGAGATTATAAATTGCAGATCCAAGAATGGTGCTAATGCCAATATCTCCCTTTGTGATAAATACACCTATGTGCAAGATAGTAGCAGCTAAGTTAGTGTTAACTTGAAGAAAATAAAAATCACACTGAGTAAGCAAAAAGTATAAGGAGCAATATTTACCTAGGAAGGCAGTAACTAATTCAGGAGCTGAACTACCCGCTGCCATGAAAGTTGCGCCTGCAACATCCTGAGACAATCCAAGGGCTGAACATAAATGAAATGATTGTTAGGCCTAATAAAGTGAAAGAGTATGTCTTTACCACTAAACACAATAGATACTCAAAGCTACAGCTTCAATAAAACCACTAATATTTACTTAAGCTAGAAAAATAAAATACACAGATTAAGAGTCTAGTGTTTTGCTTCTTTATGACTTCATTACTTAATCCTTCTATAGGAAGGGTGAGGGAAGGCCAGGAGACTAAAGGGAGTATCCTGAGTGCCAAATACAGGGTTATTTGGAACCCAGAAAAGCGTTTATAGCCGGAGGGCTTGTAGGTGAGTAGCAACAGCATGACTTTGAAAATTAAGATAATTTGGAAATCCTAACCCAACTTCAAAGAAGAAAAAAAAGATAGTAGTTTTTTAGATGTGTAATGCAGCTGAACGGAGCTTGTTCACACATCTGTTAAGTCATTTCAACCGTCCATTCAAATTTTCTGGTATAGGAACTTTGTGTAAAATATTATTCAGAATATGGGAGGCTTTGGCTGGGATTTTTCAGGTTGCCATGCAGAGAATTTTTGATGATTTGAATGTAGCTGAATTTGGCTTATAGTCACAAGAAAACACAGATATTCTAAAAAATTTATGGTTTCAACCTTGTCTAATTACAAATGAGAGAAATTACTTAACTAGATTTAATATTGTATAGTCTATTGATTTAAAACATGGATCTATTAAAATTTTCCTCTAGAATAGGAATATAAAGAAATACTGTAATACTACAAATAGTTTGTGTCTATCCACCAGGCTTACAAGCATGCAAGTTCATAAACTTTAGTGACTGACAAGATGAGAGTCTTAAGAAATTTTTTGTCCTTTCAATTTTAGGGCCAAGTGACCTACCATGGGAAGGAACAGAGAAAGCCTTAGGCCGAGATAGGTTTGCATAAGAAATAATCTCCAACCAGGCTTTACTGATAAACGAAAAACTAGCCAATAGAGGTAGCATGCCATACATTAAACTATCTACCCTAGGTCACAAAGTATCAAAGTCAGAACTAGAATTTGGGTTTTCAAGACTTGATGGCAACTCTTTGTTGATGTTTATTGTCATTTACTATACCTTCAGTCTTCCCAGATACTCAAACTCTGGTGTGCTTGGTTGAGTCCTTGTCACAGGTGGTTGGTATTTCCTTCTTATTCTTGTCTCTGGGACCACCTGTTGCCTGCACTCAGGTCGACCTTGTTCTCTAGTCTGCTGGGACTGCATTTGAGCTTATTGATTCCTTTTTGGTTTCTTGGTGTGGCAGATTGTATACTACAGCAATAGTTATGGTATTTTTCTGCTCCACATAGATTTCCAGAACCCTTTAATCCCCTACATAAAAGGTGATACAACTTCCTTAGTGTAATCACAGAACATTTCCCTTAAGCTACGACATGGTAAGTCCTGCTACTTTGTTGAAACCCCCATACTGGAGAAACCTCATGAAAAGCCCATGTAGAAATAGAGATGTCTAAGGAATTGCTGCTGTTTCAGTCCCCAGAGTTTGAAACTTCACAGCCTAGGCACCAGACATGTGAGAGAGTGAGCTCTCGGATGATTCTAGCTCCATCCTCTGACCATAGCTGCACAAAAGACCCTGAGCGAGAACTACCTAGAGTAGCTCAGTAAACACCCAAAACCGTGGAAAGTAGTTGTTGTTTTTAACCACTAGTTTTGGGGTGATAGTTAAGTCAGCTGGTGGTTCATTTATTTGTTGCATTTATTGAGTACCTACTATATGCCAGATGCCTTTTTAATGTGCTAGTAATATGGCAGTGAGCAAAACAGACAAACATTCCTGCTCTCACAGAGTTTTCCTTTTAATAAGGGAAAGCAGATAAGATAAGGAAAATAGGTATGATGTTAGAGATAAGTTGCAAAGAGTAAAGGCAGGGAGGGGAGAAAGAGAAAAATGTCCGAGAGGAAGGATTGAAATTTTAGATTGGATAACCAGAAAGGACTTAATTGAGAAGGTAACTAAAAACTTTGAAATGAGGAACAAGTCACTTGTCTACCTGGGCTAAAAGTATTCTATGCAGAATAAATGACTGCAAAGATTCTGAGGTAGAGGCTAGCCTGTGTGGTGTAGAAACAGAAGACATGCATGTCTAGAATGAACAGTGTCAAGGGAAAGCAGTAGGTGATGAGATTAAAGGTAATAGGCAGATCATGTAAGGTCTTGTGGATCCTAGTAAGGACTTTGGCTTTCATTTTGAAAGATGTGGGAAGTACTTAGAAATCTGTCATCCATATACTGTCTGCTGATGATACCAGCTCCAGTCATTAATTTTATCCCTTGGGGTAATTTGGTCTGAGAGATCCAACCAGCCCTAATCTGAGCTATTTTGACACCTGAAAAACCATTGTGAAAAGTTCTCTTGGGGTGGTTAGAATTATTTAGGCCAGGCCCTCTATTCTGTTTGCCTTTGGTCATGTTGCTTGCTGAACATCTACCTGCAGTGACTAGTGAAGGGTGAGAAATAAATGATTTGTGTAGTTTACATTGTATCCTAGTGCTTTTGGTGTTGTATAAAGGAATACCTGAGACTGGGTAGTTTATAAAGAAAAAAGGGTTTATTTGGCTCATGATTCTTCTGACTGGAAAAGTTCAAGATTGGGCATCTGGTGAGGGCCTCAGGCTGCTTCCACTCATGGTGGAAGATAAAGGGGGAACTGGTGTGTGCAGAGATCACATGGTGAGAGAGGAAGTAAGAGAGAGAGGTGGGTGGTGCCAGGCTCTTTTAAACAACCAGCTCTCTAAAGGAACTAAAGAGGGAGAACTCACCCCCTAGGAAAGGATTAACCCCCATGATCTAAACACCTCCCATTACTCCCCACCTCCAACATTTGGGATCAGACGCTGTTTTTATTTTACCACAGAAACCCGATATAAGAATGGCACTTAGGCCAATTATAACATGGTGGGTGATTGAATCTTTTTTGTTTACACGTTGTGGCACTGGCACCATAATCACCCTCATTCTATTTTTTCCTGGTGGAAAAAATAGTTATTTGGAAGTTTTCTAGCACATTCTAGAGAATTTATAGATTTAGTGCTGCTGGATATTACCATGAATTGTCTTTCCAAATCAAATCAGGGCTAGATAATATGTGGAAGAAATTGAAAAAGAACGGAATGCCTTATCGTAAAATAACTGCCCCAACAGTGCAGCTGAATACTGAACAATCTTTGTTTAGCGTTAGCTGAAGAATGCTTCATTAGAAAACTCAGTCTCAAGGTAGGACAATAGGTGGTTCTTTAGAAAAGTTTCAGTCTCAAAAGGCAGTAAGAATAAAGCTTGTTCCTATTCACTGCACTCAAATTATGAAAGGAAAGATTTTGTATAGAAGGATGGATAAAACTTAAAGGTATTTTAACAAATTATATCTTAATGTTCTAAGAATATTTTATAAAATGTTTTATACCTCTGAACTTTAGAATAGACTGGCTTTGTCTTCCTTGACCTTTTGGGTAACATTTCTTTCTGCTATAGTTTATTATTAAAGATAAATTTTTCTAGTTTTTTCCTCCCACAGCTATTATTCTTTTTTTCCACTCTAAAGGAATAATCACATATCCTGGAAGATATAGCAGAAATGTTCAACTTGAGTTTTCTCTATAGTTTTAGGTACCAACACATTGTTTATATAAAGCACAACTTCATGGTAATGAGCTGATTATGAAAATTCATCAGACTTTTTCTTAAATGTGTTCTTTTCTGTGATGCCATGTTAGAAAGTTTAAAACGGTTTTTGAAAATCTCCTTCTGGAAATATTATATAGTAGGAAGAATATTAAACCAAAACTAAGACCTGGATTCAGCCCTACCAGTAACTTGATATGAGACTTAACTTATTTAGACAAGCCTCATTTTGCCGTCTGTGAAATGGAGGATCAGACTACACAATCTAAGGTATTATCTATTTTTTTCGATCTTTACTCAAAGTTGTAGAATGTGAATTCTGTTTTAAGACTGTATACCACTTTTTTATTTTTAATTAAATTTCTTTTATAATACCTGCCCCCCAACCCCAAGTCTACATTACCAAAATTTAGACAATGAAGGGGAAAAATAGAGGAATACTTTTATCATTGTATTTTAACCACTGCTATCATTTTAATGTATCTAGTCCTTTTCACAGTGCACATTTTAATATAGTTACAGCCATAGGCTATATGCAATTTGGTGTCCTCCGGCATCATTTTAAAAAGTCTGCAAACTTTTGTGCTTTGTGAATGGATTAGAGTTTTAGAAACAATCAAAAGTCTATCAGATCCAACTCTAGCAACTATGGTGAGTAGTCATGCTGAGTCATACAATTTAGGGTCCAAAACGAAGTGCAACAGCAAACTGATGTCTCTTTTATGATTTGCAAAACTGGTTCTGAAATTAATTTCAAAGGCATTCCTAGAAATATTTTGAATGGAATAAATGCCTAGAGGGGAGAAATAGTTACTGACAGTCAGGAATACATGACTGCATGTGTATGCTCTGGGATGTTTTTAACAAGAAATAAGATAACTTGATTACCTTAATTTACCAACTCATATTCTGAGCAATGAAAGAATGAATTCTGAAACCTATAATGCTTTTAAAGGCCCGATTCCATTGAAAAAGACTCTCCCTATCCCCAATCTAATAGCTATAATATTACAGTGGATTTCCACCTGCCCTTAGCCTATCATATGAAACATACTTCTTTTATACAAGACACTTTACCTCCAAACCTAACAATTACTTCATTGTTTGTTCCATAACTTTCCCAAGGCCACACAGGTAATAAATGCAGAGGTGGGAAGGGAACCTAGATCTTTTTGACACCAAGAAGCTGCCCTTTCAGCTATCCATGTGGGCAAAGTAAAGAGATAATACATAACTTTATTATTATTTCTTGTTCCTGCAATAGCATCTTGGTAAAATACTGAGTACTTAGCACTTATTTAGATCTATATGCCTGGTATAGATTTAGATGCAATCCAAAGGGACCACAA